GACTTTGTGGGTGCCTTTGGCCGATTCATCCGAAAACGCATGCGCCTTCTCTTCAAAGACGAGAGCAATATCGTCTGCGTGTTCTAGGTGGACAAGATTTCCGTCAGAGACTGTTTAAACAGTGGGGCTTTGAGGATCTTACAGCATTAGTCTGATTATCTCATCGATCTTGAAGTTAAATAGGAATGGAGAGAGTGGGCACGTCAGATGGAGGCTTTTGGAGAGCTCTCCGTATACCCTCACTTCGAGAAGTCTTAGAATACAAAAACCTACTTTGTTCACAAAATTCCGCGGTATTCCTTTATGGGCAACCTCGTCAGTCGGAACAATGTCGAATGCGTGTTGGAAATGCAGAAATGCTAAAATTGTGGGTCGTTTGTTCGTATGGTGTTGTTCTAGCATCTGATGGAGTGTGAAGATTTGGTCAGTGCAACCCCTACCGGGCCGGAACCCTGCTTAATGCTCTGGAGCCGGTGTTTCACGAATCGCCATGGGGCGGCGATTATGCTGATCCCCCTGTGGTTACCTCACTACGAGCCCCTTTTTTGAAAATGGGCACTATCACCGACACTCCCCAGTTGTCTAAGACAGTCCCCTTTTCTCAAATACAGGCAAACAGAACAGATAAGCGTCGATTAGGAATTTCACCCAAGTCTTTGAACACTGCGGATGGGAGTTCATCTGGACCAGAAGCTCAGTGGTGCTTGATAGAACATATGTATTTATAAACCTCCAAGACCGTAGGTGGTTCCACATTCACCTTTCGTCAACTGTGGGCCCCAGATGATTGACAACTGGTGACCAAAATGGCTTTTGTTTGAAGTATCCAGTCCAGCGGTCGAGGCGTCCTTCAATCAAGATGTCCACTTCCTTCTGATACCTGATGTTCTTCGGGGACCAGTAGTGCAGGTCAACTGAAATAATCTTCGGGCATTACCGGCCTTCTGAGCCTGTTCCATTTCTATGTCCACTAAACTTCACGATCGGCTCGCACACTCACTTTCACTTGACTTCTCATAATTCGTCGCGTCAAGTGATGTTCGGGACTGGTTGGGATATTTCTTCGAGTTTTAGGCAGTGCCACCGTTCGGTCTGATATCCAGTGCTTGAGTGAACCTGGTAGCGCTTTGCCACGAGTAAACCCCCCAGCACTGTGCAGAAGTGAGGACCACATCTGATATTGGGGCATTTGGACGAAACTCTAGAAGGTGATTCTCCTAAATTCGTCTAACAACCGGATCTGCCAGTCTTTCTGCTTCCAGGAGGTTTGTCCGCAGCTTATGCAGTCCTGAAAAACGAAGGGAAAGGCCACTTCGGACGAGTGTTTGGTCAGAATCCACAAATGTGTTCCGAAACGACCGGTGTAAGTTGTTGCTCCGCCCCATGGGTAGCTGATAGCAATGTGGTCGATTTGAGTTCGAGGCCGATACGCCGTTGGAGGACACCATGTGGCAGACTATTTCGGCTAATTTGGAAGTTAATACCGCATAAAAGCAGCCTGCGGTCAGCATACAGCTGAAGCAATCGTTCACCATTTTCCATACGTACCGAGTCCAGTCCATGTCGACCCCCTAATTGAGTATCAGATACGCTAGGCCTGCCAACTTGTGAATTCACATCTCCGGCAACCACAACGATGTCTGAGCTTTTAGCTCGCTCCAACAGGACTCCAATGACGTCATAAAACTTGTCTTTGATTGTGTCGGAGCTACAGTCAGTTGGGGTGTAAGCTGATACGCTAAGCAGGCAGCGATCAATTTCCCGCTTGTGAGATTGCTTAACAGATTTTGCCAGACCAACCGCACTGAGGTTGCTAGCAATGGGTCTCCAGTCAAACAAGGATCTTTTCGCCAGGGACGGTACCAATCTCTGCACGTCCTGCCGCAGCAGCCTCTGGATCGCCAGAGGTGCGCAGATGGAAGTGAGTGGAGATTGATGGGGCGGTTAGCTCAACCACTGCACTTGCACCTTGAATTCTTGTTTCTGATACTTAGCGCACATCAATGCCAAGAGAGTCCTGTGTGATCGCAAGACCAGCCTGTTTACCTGCTTTCTTTGGATGGCGGCCTTTGAAAGCAGCCAGATAGACTGGGCATCGAGGCCTACAGATTGATTTCGAGATGCTTGAGGATGATGCGGAGGCGTCGCTTTCAAAACAGTTTTAAGGATGGAGTCATTAGTCCTCAATGCTGGGCCCACAAGGGGAAAGTTAATAATGGGGTGGGGAGAGAGGGAGAAAAACCTATGTGAAAGAGAAAGCAGGGATGCGTCAGCAGTTGCATGTTTTCGATTGCCCGCCGTTATGTGTGCATCGAGTAAGTCGACTCGGCTTATGACTCCACGCGACGGCCGTTGTAGCACGAGTTTATCTGTAAATGTGCTGTTTTTGGTTGTACGTTCAACGGGATACTGCCAGGACGCCCACAGCTAGAAAGGAGGATTATGATCCTCAACCAAACCCTTTGGCTCAAAGGCCTAACTCCAAGGCAGCGGTATTTGGTTGGAAATGCAAGTACATTACCATTTTACGGAACACGTCGCCACATGTTCCATTCCTGACCTAGAGGACCAAGATACTGTGATCGTCAAACCTATAACCGGTGACTTACGTGGTAAGAGAAACTCGGCGAGTGTGGCGCACACCTACCAGTATAGCTCAATGGGTCGCCGAGGTGCACAAAACATCACAACACGGCAATGTCTAGTCTCTCCATGACGGTTTCGGCAATTATGTCTTCAATAGAGATTTCGCCCTGTAGGCCATGCCAATTTGTAGTGAAAAGCCATGAAGCACCGTACAGCTGTTTAGCCCTTATTGGGAATCACGGGCCGTTCGCATACCACGAAGTTCCGGGAAATTTTGAGCCAGTGATCATCCGGTTAGTAATTTGATTAATTAACCGTTTAGCCACGATCGGCCCATCAGGGTGTATTCCGGTGCTACTAAAGAAGAGCTTCCGTCTCGACTACATGCCGTATTTCCACGCTAACATGACTGAGTGCCGTCACAAAGAGATTGAACCTTACCATGATGTGACGGTTTGTGTGCCTCCGTGACCCGTTGAGCTATACTGCGTTGCATCCATGCGACACTTAGTCCTTTCCACCAGGTTGGTCAATGGTTAGATGCCTAACGTTAGACGTATGGTCCTCCAGGTTGAGGGTTGGGACATGTGTGTGGACTTGTTTCATGGAAATGGTAATGCACATGCATTTCCCGCCAAACACCGCTGCGTTGTGGTCAGGCTTTTGAAAAGAAGGCAGTGATTAAGGACCGTAATCGTCCTCTTGTCTATGTAGGGACGCCATGGCAGTATCCCGGCCCATGCACAACCATGAGTTGCACATATACAGATAAACTCATACCACATCGACTGTCGCGTGGTGGCGTTGGCCGAGTCTGGTGGGAACACCGGATAGGTAATGCTGAAGTACGTCGAATGGTATCCGGAAGAAATGACTTACCCTCGCTAGATCAACTAATCACCGTGCATAGGTTGCGCTGGCTTGGCCACTTGCTGCGTACGCCAGTCGAGCGACTTCCTCGAAGCGTTCTTTTCGCACAACCATGTGAAGGGTGGAAACGAGCCATAGGTGGTCAAACAACGACTTGGCAGCGAAGTATAAAAGCCATTACCAGTAAACTCAGCTGCACTGATCACTTCCGTCTTCCTGGATGGGGACCCCTTAGATGGGCCACATCAGTGGTTGGAGACATTGTCAGACATGGCCCAGTCGCGCCCTCAATGGCATTCGTGCATCCGAGCTATTGCCCTCAATCCATAGCGCCCTTCCCAACCCCCACTTAACACTTCACCTACAGTGCTGCATTTACGCACGAATTTATCAGCTCCCGCCTCCAACACGCAGCTACCTACCCCACCTCGATTCATCGGTGAACGAAACTGCGGCAGCTACAACCACTGTACGACAATTATGCGGTTCTTATAGCTGATAGTGATGCTGATCTCTGAAACCTCGGAGATCGGAGTGCTTCCAGGATACTAGTCATGAACATTAATAATGTAGACTACCTTGTTTTCCTTGGCTCAGATCTCTCGACCTCTTCTACGTGGTGTGGTATGCATTTCACACCTGCAAAGTGCTGGTAAAAGACTGGGTAGGATCGCATCCAAAACTAATGCTTCAGGACCATCCACTCGTGGTAGATGAGGATGTCTACCTGGGCAGTCGTATAAGTCCTGGTGGACTGGGTGGAGATGAGATTACTCCTCGAATCGGGAAGGCCAGGGCAGTTTTGCCAACCTCCGACACGTATGGGGATGACGTGACGTCAGTTAGCTGCTGGGGGAAAAGTTACACTTGGATAGATATGGCTCAGTGGCTCAGCGCGAATTTGCCGACTGGAAGGCCTGTGGTTCAAACCCAGCCTCTGCATCTCGACTGCTCCTGTTGAGGCTTGGGCAACGTGACAGTGTCAGCCCCCGTGGTATTCTCGGGTGGCATGGTAGCTAGGCACTGAATGGGTGTTACAGCCGAACGATTTACTCTACGGTGGTGTCATTCATACTACTTTATGAATCAGAAACATGGCCTCTACGCACATAGGGCGTACGAAAACTGTCAGTATTTGACCATCTTTATCTCCAAAGCACTGATCGGATCTGGTAGGAACAGTGGATTACCAGAAGTGAGGTATACCTGATGGTTTTAGGAAAAAGGAACTCTTCCATGGTTGACGAGTTACTCACGCTTCATGGGGTATGCTGGTTAGAACGTATACTCCGCATTTCGGAGGACCGTCTGCATGGTAGAGCTCCTCTCGCACAGCCTTGTGCAGGGTGGAAGCCACCGAGTGATGGACAGTGTATGGCTGAGCAACGAATTATGAATCAATACATGAGCCATTTCGGATTTTCCACGGCACGAAACAGCATGCATTAAGTACGGTTGTAGACCAGTAACTCTTGCACGGTTTATCTTTCCAGTCCCTCCGAACTTCATGATTCCGAGGTCGTGGTTGCACTGAGTGCACAGAGATGACTTCCTTCAGCAAATATGTGAGCAACGTGGTGAAGACTGCTCTATCATCTTTCCTGCCGAACAAAGTTGTCGCGTATACACAACGACAATATGAGGCTGAGTACTCAGAGTAAGTGTCTTGCCAGCCATCTGTATCTCTTCAATTCAGTTGTGAAATCCTTTCCGAACGTGAACCCCTATTTTATTTCATCAAAGTGGCTAACCACTTTGAAATGACGTACATTCCACGCATTTCCGTGTCTGTAACTGGGGAGGAAGAACCCTATGCATTCAGGTTAGTTTCTTCTTGGGCTCGACTAGCGAACTTTTCAGCCTATTCCGTTTTCAAGGTGATGAGGAGAGTGGTCTTGCAGCTTTCGCACGCCACGTCGAAGTTTTGATGCCTCTCCATTTAGCTCGTGTTTCATTAAACCTTTCTTGTGATCGTGTTCTGATCGAACGAATCACTGCGTTGTGCAGAGAGCAATATGGTTGGACTGCAGCGCATATTGCAGCCGCTCTTCCCTGGCCAGAAGTATTTTACAGCTCTTCTGTGAAAGCGTAAGTTCTAGGGATTTTGTTTTTTCTCCCTGGCTTCATCTCATATTACTAGCGTTGCGGACCTGTGTACTACGAGCTACTCTTCTGAAAGGGGCTTTACACGTTTACCTAATGCGAAGAGGCGAGAAACCGTAACCATTCTAACCACCAAAGAGCACTGTGTTGATCTAACCATGGTACTCCGTATTCTTTTTAGGGAGGCCGGATTCCAGCTGACAGGAGGATCGTTAATGATTGGGAACCCATAAATGCACTGGACTGCGCTCATAATTGGCCCGATTGTGGAGGAATTTCGGTCATACTAAGGCAACGGGATTACGCGTCTTGATAACGAAATATACTATAGTAGAGGTCTGTAAAATGCGAATGTATTTTCATAGGATGACAATGGCCCGTTAGATCTATTCCACGTAACAGTTTATATTGAGATTCGTTTTTAGGGGAGACTTCCCAAACCATGCAATATGCACTCCGTTTCTCAAAATGCCTCCTTTGTATACAAGAGTACACGGGCAACTGAATTTTGCTTCATCAAGGACACACTGGTTCTTGCGGGAAGAATTCCATGTTGAGAGAGCATTGCGCCTAACTTTCCCCACCATATTCGCAACAGTGAATGATGCTTTGGCTGCAGAGCCGAGACGAAAATATGTACACCGAATAAGGTTTTCCAAGAGTTCACCGTCAACTCTTGACGTCGTAGGGGTATCTTTAAACTAGCGACATTTAGAATCAGACGGTTCCACTTCGCACCCACCTTTTTGCTTATTGTAGGAACACTTAGACTTCCTTTAGATCCAGGCTTTGAAGACCTTGTTGATGTAAACTCGGGCACCAAGTTTATAGTGTTTTAATTGAGTGAAATTTTGGTGGAATTTATTAGCCACCAGGTTTCAATATCCTCAACTTGCGTCTCAAGATCATCCCGTCAGTATTCACTGGAAATTAAGATGACTGGTAGAAAAGTACGTGACAATCACGGTAAGAATTTTCTACACTCCGCAAACTAAATTGGTGGTAAAACACTTCCTGGCTCCTGTTGATATAATTTCCTCGTTAGACAAGCTACGATTTCATTCACTGAACAGGTTTACAGATTTTCAGAATCCGATAGTTTATAAATGTTCGCTTCTTTGATGCACTATTCTCGGAAGCGTCGAGTCTCCCAATGGGATGGGTCCTTGCTATTCTGAGATACTATCTGCCAAAACTCTCAGGTAACACGCAAAGCATTAGATTGTTAACTTCGATTATATGCGTGTTTGGTGTCAATGCCACTAGATCACTTTGGATACCTGTACCTTGACTCTGATTTAGTCCCACCAACCTTGTTTTGTTCAGGCATCAACGCTACTTTATTTTGTCTCTTACACACCACCAGTGTAATGAAACAGTTCCTTAAAACTTTCCTGTAGAACTTTCGCCTGGACTGTCATTACTCGTAGATAATCTCAGCGATTCTCTAACCATAAAATTTCAACCTACAATTTGTTAATCTCGACAGGACCGTCATGATGGGATACAACAGACAAGCGGTTGGGTTGGTAGCGTATCATCCCGCTTGATTCCTTTGGGTTTGCATATGAACTACAAAGCGAATAAATGTCAAAGCTTAAAGAACAGACAATCAACATTTGAAACTTAAAACTTGGTGTTTCCGTCAATTTTGTCGTGTAACTAGTGGTAGTCTACCTCTGATTATTTCAGGTTACATGAGGAACGCTACTGGTGTTACAGTGGTGCATTTCAAGACTCAAGATCTAGCGCAGTGTCGCTTGGACTTCCAATCTAAAAAATCAGTAGTGTTAATGCGTTGTAATTCCCTTCGTCCCTTTTGCGAAGGCCCATGTAATACTTTAATCCGTCGTCGAACTTCACAGTGAAGTAGTTTCTGCAGCTATGTCGTTCAGTCGAACTCTCGTTGGTTTGGCAAACCGTTCCACATCCGTTAAAGCTACCTTACGATAGCGCTTTTAAAACCTTTTTTATAGAAGGAAACAGCGTATTTTTCATCCGGCACCTTTTCGGTGCACAGATACCATGGTACCAAAATCAAGCCCAAGGACTTGTATATTACCAGATTGTTCAAGCATAAATGGGCACGACCGAAGTATCCGGGGTGGTTTCTAACAATGCAGCTGTTTTAACCTCTGGTTATCGATAAATCCGGAATCGTGTATGTTCACCGACCATTTCACTGCCACTATCGTCGGTTGCTATCAACAATGACGGTTGTTAGCTCTCATCACAACTTCCTTTTGCTTCCACTTCTGGCTCCCACTCATCGTAAAAGGGTGTTCTGGCTGCGTTTTACGCGAAACCAACTCATGACTGTAAATTCTAGACTCTGTCTGAATTGTTCAGTTTGGAGTTGAAATGTTTTCTATTTATCGACTTGCTTACTCTTCTCTCCTTAATCTGGTATTGGATTCACGTTTGTTGTTGATGTTGCCTATTTCTCCACGCAGTATGCTAAATTGTCATGATCCATGCTCTGGATCGACTCCGCTTCGTATCGCAGTGGCAGGTGGAGACATCAAGTTGCTTGACTGCCTTCTAAGCCTACCAGCACTACGCTTGGATGGTGTGGACAATCAGGGGGACACAATACTTCATCTAGCAGCCAAACAGAATTCCAGCCAGCTACTGTCAGTGCGTTCTGTCGCGTTTATTGTCTAGTTGCCCTGTTTCTTCGGTGTTCGAGCGCTTAATTCTTTTGTGTATTTCTATGTTACTTTATAGCTATTTGGGATGCCGCAGGCGTGCCATCATTTTACACCTGTCTTTCTGTCCACTTGCGCCTGTTTGAGTCCATACCAATGAGGTAGCTCAGTGGTTAGGGCTCCAGCTTGATTCGAACTCTTCTATCTAAGCTTGGGCAACCTGACAGTATTCCAGCCCTCGTGCTCCTTCCGTTGGCATGGCATCTAGACCCCGAAAGGGTGCTGCAGCTTAACAATTTTTATTTTTCATACCAATGAGAAGCATTTGGTCAGAATTTCGTTTTTACTCGAGCTCCGCAGTCATATGTACTCTCAGTTGCACCGAATTTCGGAATCTGACCGTCTGACGATATGCAGATGTGTTTTGTTGCCAATGCTTGCTGCAATCACTTGAATCGTGTTGTCTGAAATACGAATGTGTTCTCACTATAGTGATGTGTACAGTTTCCGTAAGACCTCCAACGACAACTCATTACTTGCACTGATTGTTATGATGGGTCACTCAGCTGTTAGAACTATCCGTTTAAGTTGCTCTGAGAACGCTTCGAGTGCAGTGGGTGAGTTCACTCACTTGTGCAAACTTGGAAGTTTCGACCCATAAGTACTTACAACAAGTCCTGTTTGCTCATTGCGAAGTATTTAAATGTTTGGGTTAATGTATCGAATCTGGGTCTCATTCTGTTCAGTTTCATATATGGTGGCAACTAGCCCTCGTAGAATCAGTTGTATTCGTGTTGCATTGTGACTGCTTCGTGTCTACCTGTTGGCTGCCGGTATCCCTGTCCATCAGTACTCAACTTACTGGTAATGCAACTGTGTGTTGTAGGTGGTCGACTCAAGTGACGTTTTTCATCTCTGTTTATGTTTTGTTTTCGCATAGACTTTTCGGGTGTCCTCATTACCAGCACTTATGGTTCCTTACATCCTACACTACCTCTGAGGCCTCTGGGACCAGCATCGTCGATTGTTTTCCGTTAAAGCGGTTAGTCTGCTGGCAAGAGACGTGGTTAGCATACCTTTGATAAGGATTTACTTAGCCTGAGTTATCAGTCACCCACCACTTGAATATTGTGGTCCATACATAACGTCAGAATAATGCTTGTTTTAGCCGTTGTCGATCGGGCCGTCATACAAATGAACGTCCTTTTAGACAACGTGAATAGATTGCTCATATTACTGGGACGTGCGTCGAACTGGTCGAGGACGAGTGCTCTAGTTTGTGTTATCCTGCTAGAGCCAGCTGGCTGAGAACAACCACTATTACTCGCTTAGTGTTCTCACTTCGGCCCTTTAAGTTCACGCATTTTACCGCTTTCCCGGTCTATTAAATCTCTTCATATAAACTTGGTGACTCTGGTTGCCAACCTTCACGTTTTATATTCTAGTCTGTTAGGGACCTCAACATGATTGAAATAGTCGTGTATGGACAACTAACCGCTTGCTGCTGGACTTAATTGCCAGTCTCCTAACAAGTCTGATTCTACCATAAGCTTCCATAAAAAACAAGTCACCATCTAATTGGTTTGATGTATCTTTATCACACCTTTCGCATCTTCTATTGAGCGAACCTGCCAGAGGTAATATCTCTTTCTCTTTCTGTAAGTTTGCTCTGACATTGCAGATCTCCAGTTCACTGGATTCGTTAACCTCTGCTCGTCCCTTTCCTTCTGTCTACTTAGTTGCTCCTTGACAATATAAAGTCAGAGGTAGACGTCAATGCATTGAACACTCTGGGTAACACCGCATTGCACACTGCATGTCTGAAGCCCTCACGTGACTGCGTGGAGCAGCTGATAAACGCTGGGGCAGATCCAACTACTGGCCTGAGGGAATTACCGCTACAGTTGGTCGTGCTTGCTGATTCTCTGGAGTACGTTACATTTTGCATATACCTTCACCAGTTACAGCTTATCGTGATCACGTTTGAAGTATCCATACCAGAAGATAAAATGCGCGCAGAATTCCACCATAGTGAACTGCTAATATTTCTGGTTGTCTCAGAATCTATATCGGGAATTCATGCCGTTCAGAGATCTGTGTGAGCTACATACCATTTATGAAAGCACAATAGTTCCAGATGCTACGGTTGCTTATGTTGTGGGACGATGAAAAAGGTTAGGAACGTTTTTCGCCCAGCAAATTTTCATATTCAAGCAACTTGATTCAATCGTGTGCAATAGGTGTGCTGGTGATAGCCTGTGGACTTTGTGCGTACCATTTGAGCTCTTAGTTTCCTAGTACAACCACCGTTCTGAAGGGTGTTGACTGGAGATGACTGCGAGGAAGCTCGATAATTATTAGGCCAGAGGCCTACGTACTCATTTATGCTCGCTGATTTCATCTCCCTGGACAAAGAATGATCTGATATCTTATTAGGCACACCACACTCAATTGTCCAATGGTTTCGATTATTGCATTGCAGAACAGTCGGATTCCCTGAGCAATACAAACGACTGTGAAAACTGGCTTCATATTCTAAGCATATGCGCATTTGGCTCCTCACGCCTAACTATTCATTCAGCCTACTGTTTTACTATCGAAAATAAGTGGCAACTTGAGCTACGGTGCAACCAGTACATGTCTTCATTGACTCCAAATTTTCTTTGTCCGGCAACTCAAAAGATCACATCGTAGATGGATGGCATTTATTATCACATCCAGGTTTGCACAACAAAGCGCTGACGAAGGATCATCCCGACGCGATTGAGAGTTCATGTGAAGGAGCCCTGAAGGTGTGATGTATGTTGACTTGCAACTGTTGTCCGTTCGTAGAGGACAGGCTCCAGTTCCTTACTAGAAAGCCTTCCCTTCAAATTAATTGTCAACATTCCGTTCATTTTCGTCTAGGCGATATTTCGGCCCTCATGCTTCAGATGGGTTACATACCGGCTGTCCTGTGAAACGTCGATGTACTATTCAGTTTTCTATCAGTGGTGTATTTGGCCAGATGTAGTCGCATTTTTTAGAGCGTTTTTCTCGGTTTTCTATGGTACCCTGACCCTTATTTTTCGTATATATATATAGCAAACGATATAGTTTTTTGGATAGAGTACGTATAGTTCGAGACCTCCAAATGTACCTATTGGGATACGGTAACCAATCACAACTCAGCAGGTGTTTCTAAACAGTGGTACATCATTTTCAAATGGTTTGCCTGTTGTGAACCACTGTATTAACACTCTGTGTGCTGCTATAATTCTTAGAGTGATGATCCAGTAGTACTGTTGACATGATGTGACATTACTTCGCATACCTTTCCTGTTTATGAAGAACTCCAGATAGCTAAAGGTATGCAGTGGAATGTTGCACCTAGAGTTTTCCACTCTGCAGCTTACACATGTGGAAATGCCTTAACTTAATGGCTGCCTGTTTTTCGTAGAAATCACCCTTCCCATTCTCATGCGTGATGTTATTTGCTTGAAAATTATTTGTCACCAATAGAAAAAGTTCGTTGTTCTTCGAATGACGTTCCCAATATGTCACTTCGTCTGTTCTCTAAGTGTGGTAGTACCACACACTCAAATGTGCGTTTGTACAACAGGCCATAGAAGCTTCTGTAGCCTTTGATCACGATAACTTCATTTGTCCCATACCCGAGCAGTTTTTGGCTTTGAGCTGAACTTGTCATCTATTGTTTGCATTTGCTTTCTATAGATGTGTCGATGTAATCTACCAAGCCCATCCAGACGCCCTCAATTGTCCTCAACAAAGTGACTTGGCCTACCCAATCCATCTGGCAACCAACACTAAAGTGGGTCTAGTTGTCTGATGGTCTCACATATTTTGAACTAGTTTGGGTATTCTTCACCTGAAATCCTGTTAATCTTTCATGTCTTCCCATTCGCCTGTCTTTTCTCATCACTGCCCTGCTTTCAACTCATGGGGAGGCATATGCAGATCACACAGCTTCATTTTTCTCCCTTGGGGTGAGATGTTGATAGTCAACGTCGAATTTTGAGCATATGTTAATTTAATCACTGTCTGTTGGTTAACCCTTGTTGCAATCGATAGTCCAACTCCATCATTGCTTAGTATGAGCAGATATTTTCAGTGAGTGCTTGATTTGCTGACCAGTAGCAAAACCAATACCACCGAACTTGCCACGACGCTTCTTACTGTGTTCTATGGGTGGCTCTGATAGAAGCACAATTCGATTCACTCGCCAACCCTGCTTGTCGGTCTTTCAACAATTTTTTTTTGCGAAAATAGGTGTTTGCTTGTATGTTCTGGGGTGAATCACACTTGGTCGTTTTCTGTAGCGCTTGATCGGCAACTTGAATTCCTATTACCACTAAATACTGCAGACAAAACGCATGCCAGCAAGGTGTCGGTACATCAAAGGTACATCGGAACCAATCACAAGGACGTTTGTGATAATTTCTGTTCTGCTTGCTTCATATGGTCAGGCAAGAACGCAGAGCGTAAGGACTCATGCATTCTTTCATTGTCTATCATTGTTGAAGACTATCTACCTTGTTTTTTGGTTTTGTTCATTCATTTATCAGCTACTTTCTCAAGATTCAATCCGGTACAACTCCCTAGCTGGTTTTTGGGCTTTCTGCCACCTGGCTGTGAAATTCATTTTCCACCAGGTTTTCCGTTGGACGGTGATTCACTGATGCCAGGGACTCATCAACCTATACTGAAAGAGATAGCCTCATCTAGTCCGTAGTATCAGATCGACGAATGGATAGAGATCCGAATGACAGCCTTTTGAGCCCCAAATATGGCAACTCTAGTGACGTTTCTCAAAAATTGGATTGCTCTGGTCACTTTCCGCCTACCATCATTGTCTCGTCTTTGGACTTCCAGTAGCTTTGAACGACCATCGCAATTACTCCGTGGTTATAGATCAGCCTCAAACAACCACGACGAACAACAACACGCCATTCCGCTAACCCTGGTTAACTAGTTCTTGTGTGTATTTTCGATACCCAGTTTTGTAGATAGTTTAAGTTAGAGCTCATTTACAACAACTCAATTCACTCATTGATGTACAACAACCTCGCTATAGGAAATTATCTCGTTTCGAATCGATGCATGCGTTCATTTTCAGCCTTTCTGTCTTTCTGAAAAAAGTGATGCCGCCCCTTGATATATCTATGTGGTTAAAAGTCCCAAAGATACGTCTAAACGACCTCACGGTGCTGAACACAAAGCAACAGTTGCTGTGTAAAGATACTCCACATGTAGCCAGTATGATGACGTTACACCTGTTACTCGCGGTATGTAGCCGATCGATGAATGAGACAAATTAGATTTTTCTCTGTAAACAAGATCTAGTTGGTATTCGTTCTACAGAGCCGAGGCTGCTACTACCTGCAGACAATAAAATCTCTACAGCAGTTCTTACCAAGCATCTATCTCAGTCTTCATCACTCCGTTTTTACTGAGTTCCCTGAAATGGTATTTTGGAACCACGCCCTTCAAGAGCGTCCCGTCTGTTGCATTGGGGATGAAATTTGGTTCGGACGTTTTGTTCTTCGGAAATACCGCTGCTTTTTTTTAAAAATCGTAGCTTTATCTCCCACTCACTCGTATAAGTTGCCTCTTTTCATCCATATCCGGAGGACTTCCACTGCTCTTTGTTTTGGCTTGTCACATAACGGTGGCGCAAACAGCATGACATTACTGTGGTGGTATTCCCATCTGGACGTGAGTAACCAGTGTATTGATTACTATCAGCTTTACACCAATGGTGTCGGGTGTGATTTCCGGAAAGAGCACACAATATTTCTCTGTTCATCGGATGGCTTCCAGTCTAGTTGAATAAGGTGTTTGACTTTTCTCCACTGTTCCCTGATATTTACTTGCCTTTCGATTCAACTATCCAACCACGACTTTTGACTTGTAAGGAGGTCAAATTCAGCTTCACTTTGCTTATAGGGTAGCATAGCGTACCCGTTCACTAGGTAATCCTAAACAACCCTCTCTGTCGTCCTGGTGAGTATAATCAACCTAATAATGGTTCTTCACATGCAGCCTCTGGTCCTTTTTTTCGTCTTGATTCTGCTAACCATTTCTATGTTCATCGGACACCCTCTTCTGCAGCATGGGTGGTGTGGAGGATTAGCTGGGTCATATTAAAACGTGAAGCAGTCATTCGTCGCATCTATCACTTCTGTGGCTAGCTCAGAAGGTTGGGTTGAACTGGAATGAATGTAAATGGTCGTACACAGGCTTGTACGCAGGCCATTAAATTTTTCCGCCTGGCTGTTGCCCGTAGAAACAATTGATACTCCTCTTACGGGGATAAAATAAACCTTACTAAAGACTGTTAGCTCGTGTTTGGTCACATATGCCTAGGACATTTGTCGTTCGGTCGTCCACTATTTTTCAAGAATCTGGTAGCAGGTAGCTATCGACTGACTCCAACCACCATCCGGGTACGCATGATGGATTGAGCAGTAGGCACATTTGTTTGTTCGGACAGATGCTGAGGCTACAGTCCTCCTCAAGACTCTGGACATATCGAAATGTTGTTAAGCCTACAGTTTTGCGAAAACTGGCTTTCTGCGACCACTGCTGTACAAATCAGACTTATTACTGACTTACATTAGGCAGCTGTGTGATTACGGTGGGTGTGTCCCGAGTAGCGCGAGCCACTGGGATATCCTATGGGTTCGATTCAACGGTGGTTCTCCAAGCATTATTTGATGGTTGTGGCACCCGCTGTTATTCCCTTACTTTTACGGCTGTCAAAAGCCATCAGATAGCTGCACATGCATATGGTACTACCAATACCGTACGAGGGTCCACCAGCGTAATTCAGTGTGACTGGAAGCTATGGAAAGAAATACCAGCCCACCTTGCTGTCACCGATCTGAACCTGAACTGCTTGGATTCTCTTTGGAATAAATAATGCAACGAATCACAATTTAGTTCAGAAGCCACGGGAAATCCTTGCATCACAGCTTACTTTCGCGACGTGAAAATGCATCGCTGGACATTAAATTATCATCGTTACAGATACGTTCCCTTTGAGAGTAAGTTTTTCTATGCAACAATGGGAATCTAGTGGTACTTTTAGATCTGTTTGTCCCAGGCGCCCTCCGTTCATTTTTTAAACGTTGTATAATCAGAGTTACATTTACGATTGCCATTTTTCTTGGTCTGGTCGTTCCAGTTACTAGTTCTTTCCTTTCAGTTCTCTAAGCATAGTTTTTTCGGATGTTCCAATGCTGGTTGCTCACAAGACGTCCAACGATTCCGTTTCGGTTATCCTTGTTTCGTCCTTTGTTAGGAACTCTGGCTGTCCTAAACCTACCTTCACATAGCAAGGTCGCTAGTTCGTCCGCATTTCTTTAGTGCAATCTAGTGAGATAGTTTGGCGGACTCCTCGAGGCGCCTGTTGTTTTTTTAGTTCAGCACTGTTCCTATCCCCTAACTCGGCTCCAGATGTTCCGACGCCTGTGTGAACTTGGGGCTAACTTGGATTCGCAAGACGCATCGGGACAATCGGTGCTACATAAAAAAGTCACCACAGACGACCTCGAATGCGTATTGTACCTTTTGGCTTGTGGTGCGGATACGAACATCTTCGATGTCGACGGACGCACTCCTCTGCATGTGGCAGTATCTGTGAGTCGACATTTGGGTTATTCACGATATCACACCTCTCGACTTAAACACGAGTTTTATTGTGAAAGCTTATCAAGTAGTGTACATTCTCCCGGTTTTCTAGTCATGATCAGACCTATATTCAAAAGGTTATCGAGTTTTGGCTGCAGAAAGTAATCCGTGATAAATAACGCCTACTACTTACCTTTTCACCGGATAGTGTCATCCAGTGACATGTCGGAGATACTCTACCACAGACATAAAGAGGGATTTTATGGTGGGGGAAGCCGGAACTTTTAGATGGCTAAGACTCCAGACCAGAAGAATTATTTGGAGCGGAACGGATACCCAACTTTTAGAACGCTCGAGTTTCGACCAGAAATGTGTGCGGAGGACGATAAACCAACAAGCGAACGAGTTAGGAGGTGCGGGATGAAAATGGCGTCGGTAGGGAGCTAAATGTTGAAGGTAAGTGATGACGGGAGGGGCGTGAATTGTGTAGATTTGAAAGGACCGATTGCAGCTCTCTCTCTACAACAGCTCTCGGTTGGAGTTGTTGGATGTCGTTTAGTTTACTCATTTACTGCACGTGATTTCCACATTTTCGATCAGGGAGTTAAGGACTAAATATACTATTATTAGCGTCGTCTACAATGGCATGTATGCAACTATAAGGCAGGAATTTTATTCGCTCATGAACGAGAGATGGTAGGGGTGGTGAGTAACCTCTGCTGTATTTCCTTTACTACTTTGCTTCTCATTCGAGGCTCTGTAGTTATCGGTGGCATTACATTTGCCGTGAAACCATAGTGTGGCCCAATCTCCAACCAAATAAACGGAGCCATTTGTCAAATAGGGTGCGGTTCCTCCCACCCAGTTCAGAGTGACTGAGGCAGAAAGGTGGTCAACCTTTGAAAGAGATTAGGAAAAGCGTGAGTACTGTCGATGTGACTCACTTCCCATGGTTGAGTCTGCGTGAGCACCACTGTGCCTAAGGGAAGAAGCTACAATATGAGGTTGCTAATCCGTGTCAGTGGCGTTACAACCGAGATGGCCTGAACGATTGCCTGGAGGTGTACGTACTTCGGAATTATCCTGGCAGGTTAGCTCCAAGTCCAGGTCTATTCTTTTATCCAGAGTAAGGTCTTCAAATAAATTGTGAGTGCACCGCAGCGAAGCATCAATGTTGAACTGTGATTTTGTGCTGTTCATGATGGTGACCAGGATGCACCACTCTTACGAGTGCTGCGTAGTAAGTTTGGTTATTCAACACACGCCCGAGTTCTTCCAGCTCATTAGAATATTCCAAGTCAGATATCCAGGTTTTAGGGCCCAACTGGTCGCCAGAGTATCCCTCCTATGCTCGACCGAATCGCCAACTGATTATGACGTTAAGGAGCAGTGGCGAGAGCGAACAGCCTTCTCAGCCTACGTGATAACCAACTCTATGGTCTGCTCATGGTATACCTTGACCCGAGCTTTCATTGAGTAACAACTTGCCTGAATGAGGTTTATCAAGTTCTCGGGGACACCGTCAGTTAAGAAAGTTGTCCACAGTATCCGATCATTAATCGAATGAAAAGAAACTCGAAAGTCGATGAAGCATGCCGCTGCATGAATTCGCTACGATGTTCAAATGTTCCTCTTCCTTCGTTTGGTTTGTTGCGCATTTCCGATGTTCGCAGAAAACGTTGTAGCAGAGAGGGATGATAAGATTTTGGCAGCAGTATCAATAACATTCGTTACACGCTAATTATCACATCTTCCTATCTCCTGTTTTGGGAATTCGGTACCACTGTTGAGGTTCTCGAATCTCACAGAAAGGATTCGGTTTTCCGGATTGAACAGACCAGCTTGTGCAATACTTGGGGAGTTCTGAGATGCAGGATTTATAGACATCAGCAGGGATCTGGACTTCTCCCGGCTTATCGAGCGGCCTTTCACTGAAGTGCGCGGAGATTAACCGATCTGGTGACATAGGTGCCACTACCTTTTTCGACATAGGAACTGTTTCCCCAGTGATACTTATCGATCGCGTTGCGCATGGCCTAACTGGTCTGCTAGTTTGTTGTATAGAAGTCTTCAAAGCCACCCGCTGCTCGTTTACCGAAACCAACTGCTCAGCTGATTGTTTGGTGCTGTTAGCGTTCGCCCTGATGGTTTAACATTGGAGTGCCTTTAGGTTCTCCGGGTTGCTTGATGGCTCTGTGTTGATGTGATACACTGCCGGTGGTGTAACAAAAGAGTAGTTTGATGTCACTGCTTTTATGTGTATGAATTGTGAGGTAAAATATATATTCACTTGTCCTTTGTTTCACGCTGTCCTTTTTTCTCTTGGTCTCATGCAAATTGTTGGTATTGTGTTTTAGCATAACGCCTCCATACACATTCTACGGGCCCTTCTTGTCTTCGAAGCCGATCCATCGGCATTGGACAATTGCCGTCAAAGTCCGCGGCACCTGCTTTGCAGTGATGCCGACGAGTAAGTACAATATGGTTGAAATTCAACATAGGGTTTTTTCTGTGTTCTCCTTACGAACTTCGATCATCTGTCATGAATGACTAGTCAGCTCGATAGGACTATCCCTTCCATTGTCAAACTTCTGGTCACCCGGGACCACATCAATCAAATTGAAAACACTTTCATCAACTTCTTCCAACAGTAACGTTTAATACCAATCCTGACCAAACCTTTACGCACGCTGAACAACCACCTCTTCAAATTTAAATGAATCGTGAACAACCTGTCTAGCAGGGTGAATGTCTAATTGTACGAAAAACTATTTTAGTGGAGTGATCCATCTTGTACGGCTTGACTGAATATGAGCATTGACACCGTTTGTCAAACTCTATGTCCTAGCAGACGACTGAACGTCCCATCATGCTCCCTGGTTGCACACTACTACTAGGAGTACCAGGAAATTTGCCAGTAGTTTTTTTTGTCTGAGCTGGACTCGAATTGCCTAAACGCAAATGGGAATATATCTTTTTTGTAGTTTACTTTCGATTTTCCCGACCATTTTTTGGTTCGGAAGACAACTGGGCTTTTTCATCTGGATTTCAAAAAGAACGGTAATTCATAGCATGTCCTAGGCAAAAATAGCGAAGAGCTTGCGTCTAATTCGGACAGATTATGGCCATTATCCCCTGTTATCTGCTGTCGTTTGGGGATTCGATTTTATAGTGGGTACTTACCCCGCACGCAGACGTAAATGAGCCATACATAACATTTATTAAAGTGATAAAACAACTGTGCAAAGCCTTCTTCAGATTCTATCCAATGTATGCAATGTAATAAATAGATTCTTCATTCCAAGTTGAACTGATTTAACCAGAAGCCCTTCATCAACCGACCTTTTGATTTCAGTATCATCAGTAGTTCATCTGATTTCGGCAACCGATTTAGCAGTTTACCATAATATCTTGAAAACAACCTTAACATAAACGAGCGACTTACTCTCTGGTTTCCACACAGAAACACTCTCAAGTCGGTGGTTCCTCAAAGAGAAAATTGAAAGTTTGAAGAGTGATTGTGCCGGAAAATTGCTCGGGCATAATACAGACACATTAATCATAAAGCAACACGAGCGCGGAGCATTCCGTGACACCGTGCTCATTAAATCCCCTCTATGAATCCGAGACAGACAAGTACACATTTTACAAGAAATTCACTCCAAAAGCGATGCTAGACCCATTCACTTATGAAATTCCTCCAGGACGGCACGTACATTTTCCTAGCTTTAATTCAGGAGCGGGTGTCTGAAATGGTATCAGTGATGCACTGGTATATCGGTTCACGTTTGTTATCCTAATACGGTTTTTGTTGGGGTCACTCACTCTCTGATTTGTGCAACAGACTGAGGGAACAACTTCTTTTTTTAACATGCCCCTAACCATGTTGTTGTGGTCTGTGTCAGCGGCCATGTTTTGAAAACGTCTGTCGGCTATCAAGAGAACTGGTCGGGCATTCTTATTGAATACGTGTTTTCATAGCACTTTTCGCCCTTCAGATTTGGTCGAAAACATTGTCGTAGCTCGATAATGTCATAGCAACCAGTACTGAGCCGATTTTAATGACAACGAAAGTCGTGATTGAACAGGTCGATATCTCCTTTTCAAGAGGAGTTATTACCACGGGGATTTTAAAGATAGTATGAAAAAAACTTACACTGAATCTCTATTGGTAGGGTTTGGCTATCGGAGTCCATCCATCGTTCCTGTGATGGCAAGCTATCTTCGTTGATTAGTGACCGTAATCTTGACTGCAGCTCCCCAGCGGCATACTGAATATCAGATCACTTGCACTAACTTGGAAGCTGCTTGTCTATCTGTGATGTAACGTGGTTGCTGATTGACGGCATCTAGGGTTCAAGGCGCAAGTAGAAAGTTGCTCCAGGCACCGTTGTTTCGAAGTTGGTCTGATAGCCAAAACCGGCGGTATGTGTATTCATCTTTCCCTCAAGGACGTCAGCGCCAGATACTGCTGCTACTGTTGTGTTTTCAGACCAGTCTAGGTCAAATCTTATCTGATCGGGATGGGTTACTATGCTACTGCTTGGAGTCACGACAGAATCCAACAGGGGCTTTTCGATGCGATGCTGCTTTCCATTAGTTTGTCGTCTGTGGAGTCCCAAAGCCTGGCGAATGGTGCAGGTAATATTTACGAAGCTTGGGTTACTTCCAGCTCACCGTCGCACCGCAAGCTGATTGGAATTATGCTTGTAGTTATTATTGGCTCTACCGGAAGGTCCGTGTTTCTAACCCGACCTCTGCCTCTCGACTTCCCTTGTGTAGACTTGGGCCACCTGGCAGTGTCCCAACCTTCGTGCTTCCCTCTCGTGGCATGACAGTTAGGCACCGAAAGAGTGCTACAGCTGGATTATCTCTGATCTATTATTGGCTCTACTGCCGATAAGTACACTTCTTCTTTTTCAAAACTAATGCGAATCTGTCGAAAACAAATGTACACACACTATTTTGACATTGTAGATGTACGTGTGTGATTCGTGGAGTTTCTGAACGATCTCTATCATTTATTCATAACATAAAGAACGCCCCTCGTTCACTACTTGCATGTTCTGTTCAGCTGATTTATTTCGCCACGTTTTATCCCTCTTCGTGTCCCGTGTCTGGTTTACCTGGTTCATCCTACCACGAAACCGATTCATGTTAATCTTAACAACTAGCCTAGAATGGAGATACACGCTATCCTTCTCTTATACAGTTAGTGATGAATCACATGAAACAACGTTGTTATGCAAATTTACCTCAAGACACGTGGTTCCACCGATAAATTCTTTGTTTATTTTTCCAGTTCCATCTCTCAGCTGTTCCTGATGACTTAGTTGGGCCAGGCCAAATCGTAATCAAGTCTTTGGACTTTATGGATTGAATCCACCAAGCCCTTAATAGCTTATGCGTTAAGGCGTGATCTTCCTACGGAAATGTTTACTTCCAAGCAATCTCCTACTATTTCACTTGCCCTCATGTCGCTCAGACAGCCAGGAACTATATCAAACTTCGTGGCTATCTCGCCATACATGCCAGATGGCAACCAAGCAATTCAGTTTGTGCTTCCCCTTAACATAGCCTGCAGTACGCTAGCGAATTTCCTATCGGTAGACTACCACTACCTTTCGGGGAGGGATATGTCAACCGCCTTCCCGCTAGTCTCTGAAATATCTTGGCTTGGAAAGAGGGTAGGCACCATAAGGCGCCTATTATTACTATTGTTATTGTTATTGTTGCCATCACCATTATTATCCTACTTGTTAATATTGTTATTTTTATTATTATCCCGCATTTTTATTCTTTGCAGATATGTGCATTCTCCGCAAAAGTAAGTTTCTTATTCACAGCCCACACTCTCCTTAGAGGGTTGGTCAGTTCAGCACCGTTTTAGAGTGATTCAGTCGCCAATCTGCATTTTAGTCTTGCGTGAAACTGTCTAGTAAAAGTCAGACGTGGAGGTATGGTTTAGACAAAGACCCTGTTCTATGACTGTATGAGTTACTGTGTTGAAAACATAATGATGGGGTCCTGCAGTGCACTTCACAATTTATGATCTTGTGTTTCTTTCGTATTAGTATCTCCGAAAGGCTATGTGTTTGGTGTATGGATGGAAACAGTCGTGCTGAGATGCTCTACCTCCTGAGGAGGACACTTCCAAGAATGTTCTCTGATAGGGTTTTTCTTTTTGGAACAGGCGACCAGTAGAAACCGCCTCCCTCGTTTTCTGCAGTTGGCTAGCCAGACGAATTATGTGCCAGATGCAGTGTATTCCAGTATTTGACGTGTGTGAATGCATCCAACCAAAACCGAGGAAATTTCATGTTTTGCTTGTTTGAGCACAGTTTCTAATTCTGTAATTCCCAAGCAAATCGTCCTAACGTTTGTTTGGATTTCGAAAAACTATTACAGAGGACGGTGCGCATTGTTTGACATAAACACGACCTCTGGTGCTATTCGACCTCAGCTAGGAGCTACTGCGTAGATCTCACTTCCTTGCATACTGGATGAGCAGATCTATTTAACGTCGCCTCTAACCGCAGCTATCGTCCCCTGATTCTCCTTATCGTCGGTAACTGCTGGGACCACTGTACTTCGGTACGAGGTTTGCGATTTGAAAACTGAATGTTTCTACCATCTTTCAGTCCAAATTCCAATGAACCGCAGCCACGATTTCTGCCTCTTCTTAAGTTCGTAGTTCGAGGAAGTCGTCGATTTAGTAAATTTAAGTAACCGAATGCTGCTTGCGTACAGCGGTGGGGATTTGTTATATTTTCAAGGCTTTTCTTCAGACTCTTCTGGAACCCAGTCGGCAAGCAGATTACCCGATTGATTCGTTTTCATTAGTATTTTCGCACCTTAGAATCGCCAGATACTGACTTCTAGTCGGACACTCTCTCGGCTCCACAGGCAAACTCTAATGATTGGACAGTAAGTTGGTTTTTTCTCCCATCGCGCTGCTCGTAGTTAAATTTCACTACAACATGCCTTAACGTATACTTTAACCATCTGTTACGGGCAACCATAAACAACTACTACTCTGTATGAGCTTAGCCACAGTTAGGTTATCTGTAAAGCTGAGCTGCCGTAAAGTATCAAGGGGTCACCTGTTGCGATAAGTGTATGGCAAAACCGGAATAATTTGATGGTTTGATTTACCTACTTTACCTACCACCACTTGCCGAGTCACAGGACAATGAACGGTTTCATGAGCACCAGGATTCGGTAAGGGAACATACCGACTTTGACCAGATTCCACACAGACTTCGGACGAAACAAGATATCGAGATAAACTAAACTGATCCTGAAATCGCATAAAGAGTGCATGTTAAATATTTATACATTCCTATCGATTCCTGAAAATGCTTAGTAAAACCTCGGCTCGAACGTACCTAAATATAAAATGAGGTTTTTTGAGCGTACCATCTGCAATGTTGAGGGAAAAAGCACCGGAAGCACATCTTTCCGCGGTGATGCTGTTCTTCTATAAATAATCCCAATAGCAAAAAGTTTTAGTAATTCGGCCATATTCCATGTGGCCATTCCAATGTGATGAAACTTATCACAACAGAACAGCGATGGGCTGGTTTCAAAACTGCTTCACTTCTGCTAGAAAATCCGAAATCACTTTGAATCACCGAATTCAGACCTAACCATGGCAGCAAAAATGAAGGATTGACCTGTACGACGAATGATGGCAACAGTCCGCTCTCAATTCACAGAAATACGAATGACTGTTGATATATCATCTGATTTCCTGAAAGCTCCGTTGCCAAATTTATCCAGTTTGCTTGGCATTGCTTGGCGTTCACCGGTAGTTCGACTTCAAGAGCATGAGTTTCCTATCACTGACCAAACAGAATTCAGGTAGATAAACAACTCGCAAATTAGTTGTTAATAATTCGAAAAGGGTCAATTGGATCCTAATTGGTTGTCAATGGAACATATATTCGTATCATCTAAACACAAGTAGTACTTCTTCAGGTAAAATCGGTCTCATATCTTCACTTGCCGGGACATTTGCGTTCCAAAATGGTCCATTCATGAAAACTGATCGAAGCGACGCTTCCTGTATGGCCGACGCGCCTGTTAATCCGGTGTGGACCGCTACTTCATCTACTACTGGTTGCCAGGCTTTACTAAATTATATTGCAACTGCGAAGGGTGTTACTGACTGGCAGTTTGAATGAGTCCAGGGAATCGCATATTCCATTACTTTTTCTCCAACTTCGGGAGAGTTGGATAACCGTCTCGTGTATGTGACTGCTCCTTGGGTTGGGATTTCCATCACTCCCACCCACCTATAAACGGTGTTGTATCTAACTATTCCTTGCCTGCCGACGGTACATGAACACATGCGTCCATCCACTGATACCTGACGCGGGTCGCGGTATTTAAGTTGCCGACCCGAAATGTAAACGCCGTACACTGGGGTCTGTGCGCGTACAGACTGCCTCAGATCAAACGTTCCACCTGCTTTCGCAAGACCACTATTGATTACCGATCATAATGGATCGCGCCGGCAGGCGAGCCAGCCGCGGCATCGGTCGCCCCTGTGGAACGTACATACCAGGTCGGGACTTGGTAAATGTGCTCCTGTCCGGCTTCGGCAGATTGGCCAATCATCCCTAGTCTGGTTTGATGCCACCAGTTAGGTACGGCCTTACGCAACACAAACCGTGCAGCTGATTGCGACTAAACTTGAAATGCGTTCATAAAGCTGGATTTTATGCAAAATGTAAACATATACAGACACAAGGACCGAACTTCAAGCGGAAAAAGTTCGCCATGCACCCGAGAGCTGTTTAGGATTCCCGCTGTTCAAAATACTGCCTGTAGTAATCCGTGGGATCCCATGACTAGCGGAGAAAGATTCCATACGCCCACATCTTTTAATATCGGCATCAATGTTTGATGCAAACCAGGGCTGGCATGTTACTCTTCATCTGCCAATAGTCACGTGGGCTTGTTATTAATCAGTGTGCTCATAACAGAGCATACATCTCATGAACCGGAAAGAGAGTAAATGGCTTTCCTTGATTCGAAAAAGCTGAAAGTTTGGGCGATAGAGTTTGTTGATTCATGGTGAAGTGCTAGTGACCACACAATGGATCTATCAAATGAAACTGTCCGACGTCTCGACCAGCGAGGGTGGCCTATGTCAACGAACTCATTGTTTACACGAATAACCCGCATTGATACTATCAGAGGAAGTTAAATATGATAACGATAAATCCGAGTCGAAATGTAATTCGCTGTCATGTCCCCCGAAGCACGTCCCATGTCAATGAACGCATCCCTTTATTTGGTGTATTTGGTTTTCCGTCTTTCTAGGTTAGCAGGGAAACTCACTGTTTGCAGGCGCTTTCGTCTTTCCACAGTTTCCCAAAGTAGGGGAAAACACAACTTAGTCTGAACGGATTTTCTAGTTACGAAAACTTTAACTGATGCGGGTACTGAATGGTTTATACCAGTTGATTTTGTTTGTGATGTCCTCAGTTCCCCTCAGGTGTTAACTGGCCGTAACCAATTGATCTTCATCATCGTCGTTAAAAGCAGTACACCAGCAATACCTACCAGTGCTTAGTAGCAATATATTCTGTCGGTGGTCCTCAGACAATTCACAACACCATTCACATAACTGAAAAAAATCGATGTGCGCTGTCTGACAGGCGAAAATTGAAGAACAGAGATTAGTCGATGTGCGTGTCTGACAGGCGAAAATTGAAGAACAGAGATTAGTGTCAGTCACTACATAATTATTGACCTGTTCCGGTTAGCAATTATTGCCGGCCACTGTGGATTATTGCAATCCACTCGGTTTTCTATGTAGACGAGCTTTTCTGTTGAAGAGTGGTAAACACCGGATGGTGAAGTTTGGCTTCTGCGGACCTGAAATTTATTGCGGCGTCCAACTAAATTAGTTTTCCCTTAATTTTGCAAGCAGTTTTGGCACTAGCTGCATTCGGTGCTCTTTGTCTGATAAATTATCATCACTGATAGGATGAACGCTTTCGTTAGTAAATGTGGCTGGTTGTGTCCACGTTAGGTTTGTTCTCTTGGTCTGATTGTTCTCTACAGTGAGCTGTGCATCTGGCGATCCCGCACAACCGGTTGTAGCAGTTCTTGTTTTTCGTTCCTACCGTCTGAAACTTAGCTTATATCGTCAACCTTGATTCCTTCCATTCGTTTTCAGAGATCTCGCTCTATATACCTTACATGCTGTTGGGGCAAAACGATGTCCTCCCGATCTGGAAGGATGCACCGTTGGCTGTATGGATCCAGGGGTTGCGGCCGAGAAGGGATTGACACTTTTCGATGGCACAGCTCCGGAAGTGGTTCACAACATAAACGAGGATGCTACACATCGTAAGTTCGTTCTATATTTCGTTTGGCCCAATATCTTGTTGTCTACCCTTAGGGTGGCCATCAGCGAGTATTTCTGAATGAATGCTTTATCTCGTTTGAATCGGTGAAATGGTGCGTGACTTTTAAATAGAGTACATCCGAAATGTATACGTCCAACTTAAGAGTTCATGGTTGGATAGCTGGGACCTTTCTTATGGCATTCAGCGTAATTAGCTGACCAACACTATGGTCTAGTGTGAATGTTTGGGTGAGGCAGATTTTTGTAGCTGCTACTAACAAAAGAGAATGACGCTATTATCAGATGTAAGAAATTCATACTGAAGCCTCCATTCGATTGTCCCACTAGGTTGTTCGAAACGAACTGAATTTAACTGTATAAATTTAATAGTTAGTCGCACAACTGCATCCCAACCTAACACCGGAAGACACTCGACCTAAATCTGCTACCTTTTCATGGTAACCGGGTCTGTGTGTTGTGATAGCTCTGAGAGTCATGCTGACTAGAATGTTTATTCCCTTGACTCAACCATCATCAGAAATACTAATGGTGAACAGATAGACGAAGAACAGCGAGTCCTCTCAGTATATATGTTTGACAAAGTGTCCCGTGGAACGCTTGCTTCACTGTGGAGTGAAACGCAGTGAAGACATTCAGTCGTATGCACATTCCGATTGTCCTCTGATGCATTGAAAGAAGTTCGTGAACCCAAAATTCAGTGTCTGCCACTTCCTCAAGATGTCCAAAACAGCGAAAGACATGAAAAACTGAAGATAACCTAGCGGTTGGGAATGTTCACTTCTCCACATTACTCACTGGAATCGAATGGGATCAAGTGAATCAAATAGCGAAGCGTACAGAAAAGGATCATATTGACAATCGTAAAATATTGGAAGAGCTACAAACAGCGATTTCGCAGATGTGAAAGGATCCATAAATGACGGATCATTCAACTTGGCTTGTCAAACTCGGTAGATAAGGACTGCAACATGAATTTTCCCATCTAATCCTTTCACCATGGGAAACAGAAGACTAGACAAGACTAGTGCCTTCACTCAAAGAAAAAGGATGTGGGCTAGGGCCGTGGAATCAACTTACTTTGCATTACTGGGGAAATACTGGTTGGTATTCTAGGTAATCGGATGAACGCGGAGATTTCAAATAGTTGTTTCAGAGGAACAGTGTACGCTCCGGAAAAGGACAGAGCTTTAATCTATTCAATGAAATAGATACAAGATAGATATCGTGAATGCAGCCAACCGCCATATGGTGTGTGCGTCGACTCCTAAAAACCCTGGTCCGATAAACAGAGAAGCATCATGAGTCGTTCTCTGAGGGGTGAGCTGGCCAAATTTGTCATTTTTTCAGGTCTTTTCACTCCGCTTTAGGAGCTCTTGTTCGAGGTACAAACATCGTCAAAAGCTTCAAGTAGAGCTGCGTTATGGGGCAAATTTACTCAGGTTGTGGTTTACTTTAATATACACGGAGACCGTTCGAAATTCAGGAGGTGGTGTGTCTATTCATAGTCTTTTGGATGGCCACCTGTTTAATCCACCACTGTTGATACCGATGTATGTGCGAGGTCACTTACTTGTCCGCAGCAAACAAAGCATTGAAATTGTGATTACTGAGGGTTAACACCGCGCCTGAAGGATTCCAAAGACGTCTTTGGAACCGTCACTACCTGCGAGTGGATGTTAAAAGCGTGATATATGGTGCTACGGCGTTCTCTGCATTTTTGTACACCTGTGATCTGTACAAGATAGCCTGAACTGATACACATGAAAGGAACAGCGCATTCGACTACAGAATCGTTTACCGACCAAAGTGAACTAAACGGATAGAAGCTATCTAACCTCAATTGCCATAGGGTTTTGGAAAAGTTAACATCCTCAGACCTTCTCCTGAACCTTTCCAGACAGTGCATGAATACCAACCAATAATGAACAGACACTACAAAACAGTCCAATAATTTCCATATCCACCAGGAACGGTGCTTTAGCACGTGATCTGATAATGCTCGCATGTTCCATCAGCAGTTTGATCTGTTACACCCATGGGAAGTTTTGGGCGATCATGAACTGAAATGAACGGACAAGCTAAGACCTGTAAGATGCGTACTACTGATGATTTCCAGTATGTGAAACAGATGTGTAGTACTTGTTCCAGTTTTCACCGTAGATTGGCTTGACTTTCTGGTGGCTGACCTGAAACAACGATTTACGAGCATCACTCAGAATTTTATTCACACTCACGATAAATGTAGCGAAGATATTTATGAGGCAAAAACGCTGCATTATCTACTATGAATTTATCGTGCCCGTTTTTTTTTCTTTTCGTTATTTTAAGCCAGTTTCTATATGCACTATTTTTACTGAATTCGATTGTTGACCAGAATTAATTCTGCCGACTTGAATTGGCTTAAGGTCGCTCCGTGCGAGTAGCGCTGTAATTTTCTCGTTAGATGTGTCTTCATTCTATGCTTGGTTTTGGCGAAAATTGCTCTCGTGGCAACTTCAGTGTATGATCGTGCCTGTTCTATGACACCAGGCTTGGCAACCCCAACCAACATAACTTGCTATGGCTCTTAGTATGTCTTGAACTGTTCTACATGTGGAACTTGATCCTAACTTGAGTAAACCCAGGAATCTGACGTAGCTGATAACTTTGTTTTGCCATGCCTGCCAAATGATATCCAAGTAAATGGGATGGTTAACCACTCACATTCTATTTGCGTTACGTTTAGTCAACAAGTATAGCCATGCAAACAACTTGCTCCGCTGTTGTGATACGTGCTGCGTTGCGAACCACTGGTGTACTTTGACTTCGTTTGCACGCGAACTGAGTTTTTACTTAGAATATGCCTGCGGTGTTTGCATGCCTACTAATATCTGTTATTTTGGGGATTACGTATTTAGCCTCTTATAGAAGTGATTTTGGTGGACCTTACCACTGCAGCTCACATTTCCGTATCATGATCGTTACTTTTTCAACGTGTGGTTTTGTGCAGGCTTTCAATTTTAACCGTATTTCTTCTGCTACGTAGAGGACCTTTGCTGTTTCGATAATATGTAGCAATCCAATAACTGTTAAATGATTCAATGTGGTTGATCGCTCCTGGCGCTTTCTCAGTAGGTCTACATACTCTGGTTCACATTGTGAAACTCTCATATTTAGGAAGACTTCCTAGACGTTGTCAAGGGGGTCGCATTTTTGCAGATAGTGGAGTGAGGAACGGCACAAATGACATCACATGTTTTATAAAATCAGGGGTAATCCACCTTATTCAAGCGAGCATGGATATCTGAATGCGCCATATCCTTTGCAGTCAACACGAGTTACACTTGATTTTCCTTTGCGCATACATACGCATGTCACGGCTGATTCCCCCTCTCTTCTTTTTATACAGTGTTTGATGAAATCTTCTACTCCGCAAGCCAGGTACCTCGAATGAACAGCGTTCAGCAACGCCGCTTTACGCGTTGTCCAGCCAGCTTCCGACGGACGTCGAAACTGTCGTCACATACGGAGGCTGAGTTGTATACTTTGCGTAGTGTTAGCCCAAGCCCATCCTCTAGCACAGATGTTCATCCTGCGGACTTGAATCACACATTTACCGCCAGTATAAACGGTCCACGTCGTTCATCGTCCGGGCGGATATCGTCCTCAACCATTCTCATCCCAACCGGTGCAGCACAGCCCTGCCGTTTTACCGTTGGTGGGTGCACAGTCTAGCCTTTACCTGTATATACCGAAATTGTTACTTACTGGTCTGTGTTCACGGTCCTTTAAGGTGCTCAGTTTGAGTTCGGCTCTCCAGGCTGTTGCTAGGTCTACTAGTTAGTCACACTTCGTTTTTACATGATCCCTATATTCATGGTCCCCACAGTCCCCTATGGATTTCAAACCGCACCTTTGAGTAACATCAATGCGTACAGCACAGGTAGTTTTCCCCTCAGACCAGCTTTAAACCATACTTTTTTCCAGTCTTTCCCACAGATTGATTTAAATCGCCCAGGACTCACAAAGAAGAAAAGTGACATATCTATTCCGCAATTTAATTCACCGTAGATAGGACCAGTCCACTCGGTGCTAATTTGCCATGCATTTTGTCCCCGTCTTCTTTTTTTTCATTTCGTCGGTACAGCGACTTGAATAGCGGTTTTCCCTTCTGGGAGCAAAGTTACAGAAGAGTTTGTTACGTTACTGTGTTTGCTCGGATCGGAATCGTTTCTCGTTTTCATTGGTTGTGTGGTGCCCTCTCACAATCCTCCTCCAGTGTAATTCGAACACTAGGATTTCCTGACGATTTCATTCTTCAGTTTGGTCGTATTATTAATAATGATTCACGTGCAGATTTATTTATGGTCTGTCCCGGCCCAGGTTCAGTTTTCTTGATAATTCGATGTTTGCCTCAAGTTATCTTATCAGAAGCTGTTATTTTACATAATCGGTATTCACTTTATACCATTCTTCGTCTGGGACTATCACACGGTTGTGTTTAGTCCCATAGACCAACTACTTCTTGTTCGTCTGCGTCATGACTTTCTAGAGTATCGTGGGCCGCTAAATCCAGACTGATGAATGACCTTCTGTATACTTGCCCATATATTCTGGCTTATCCGCTATGATATTGTTGGCATGTCATGTTTTAGAGCTTACAGTCAGGTTAATTTGCCTTCCGAGTTCGCTTTTGTTATCTTAGCCACCTGGCGATCGAATTGCTCGATGGGGAACGTCCTCATCATCATCTCAAGTTCAGGTGATTCGCAGTGAAATTATTCAGTGGGGGGGGCACTTACAGTAATGGGGTATCCCTTATTGGAGAGTTTCCTAAGTGTCCACTAAGGAAACCTGATGTGCTACTTCATTCCACGGCGTTAAGTGAGCTAACGATAGAAATGCTTGTCTTTCTAAGTATAGTGTTCTCTCCCGGATACGATAAATGTTACATACTACAGCTCAGTGTATGCGTCACTGACGATAGCACGAACGACGTATGGACATCAGTCTTGACGACATCAGCAGAGTTGCTTCATATTACTGAAGATCAGCAATGATAACAACCCTTTTTTGCGTCAGTAAATAAACTAGCTTGACCACTCAGTCCGGCTAAATTGACCGTGAACCACTTGAAGTAGATGTGATACACTACCCACTACCCATAAGGTTGCTGAAAAATCTTCGGCAACCCACGACTGGTTTCCCCCTTTTTGGAGCTCATCGGGTCTTGTTTAACTCCATGCTCTATTTGAACCCAACTAGCACGAAAATCAACTAACATACTTATCTCCACACCAGTTTGGTTTTGACGGGAGACTCAGCTGCGACCCAACTGAATCTCTCGTTTATGGTGTTCTTCAATTAACATCTTAGCGTGCCTGTCAGTTATTTTGTCTGGTCCCTCGGATGGAAGGTCCAATGGTCGCGTAAATTCTTTCTTGTGAGCAACCCATAGTTTGTTGGTGGCATTGAAAGATTTAGAAGTGGACAGCACAATAAGAAAAACGTTTGATGATCGCTTAGACGCCGAGTATTCTAGACGCGACTCCGAGTTCTGTAGGTTGTTTTCCGAAAGTATGTCGCAAAGCCATTCAAAACGTTGTAGTTCACGATGAAACATCGATTGTGAAATGCAAGGTTTTACGTAGTATACATGTTTCATTTAAACGCTACCACACACAGTAAGCTTAGTTGTTTAGCGGGACGGTTGATTAGACATGAATTTCTACAGTCCGAATGAATAGCCGAACACTACCCAGAGGCCTCATCCTAAAAACTCCATACATAAGGCGAACTATGTGGTAGGTCTGTTATTCGTTTTATTAGGTACTGCTATTCTTATACCACCTGTTTGAAATCCAGCTGTAAGTCAGTTGGCTAACTCAAGTGCGTAGTGGTGATAAGCATATTTTTGGAAAATCTTATCTTTTGTAGAGACTGCTGCCATAAGCAGACAGAGTAACGCAAGGATGACTAGCTCCTCAGCTTGACAGATTATATAGATATTTAGTTCACATTGCAAGAACGCTGGTGTAGTGTTGAAGTGTGATGCAAAGGGTAGGTTGTATCCGTTTCTAGATTCGCCTGCTGCATCAAGTTAGTAGACTCCAAAGTGGGGTAATTGAGATCGCATTGTATTTTGTGCGAACATGCTGACCGAAAAGTCCACGATTCGAACCAAACCTCTTCATTTCGACGGCTCTTTTCTAGGCCTGGATCACCTGACAGTATCTTAGGCCTTGTACTTCCTTCGGGTGCAATGGCAGCTGGGTACCGAAATGATGCTACAGCTGAGCCATTATCATTTTGTGCGATGCCACAAAGGGGGAATAGTTCTTGAGCCAACGGCATGTACAGCCCATATATATGATTACCAAATACAGGGAGGAAAACTAAACGCTTGAGGCTTAGTGCGTGAACCGAGGTAAGCGTCCCCACCCCGTTCGGAAGGGATTGTCACTTAATTGAACACCGCTCCAGCGAATTAGAAGGCCATTTTCACACAAATTCGCTTCTCATTGGGTCAAGATCTTTTTCAAGAAAACGTAGCTAACATTCTTCGCAGATTCCACTGAATGTACGGTGGATGCATTGTCCACTATTACTTTGTGGTCGTGTGGATTTTTTGCGGGTTCACTTTGAGTTCAAATTGTAAGTGTAAACACACACTTGGTAGATGACCTGTCACGTGCAGTTTCATTTAGGGGAGTCGTTCGAGAAAATGTTCATCACTGGAATGTGGTTGTCAGAACACTCCACTCTACTTTTTGCTGTTGGATTCAACGTTGTGAACCCAGGAATATCGGAACGCTTCTGGTTGGTGATTAGTGATGTTAAACTGACATGAGGTCATGGAAACATTCTTACCCGGTTACAGCACTCCTACTGTCAACCGACTGTCTGCAAGAAATCACCTTACTTTAAAATGAGACTGACGATTCTGTCTAAACTGAGATTCGACCTCCCCCAACTTATTGGTCAACCTGGTCACCTTCAATTCGTGTTTTCTATCCTTCATTAGTTAGTGTGCTTGCACGCACAAAGCAACCTCTCGCTTTCAAAGTGTCTGTTTGTTCTTTTCCACAGAATCCGACCCAGAAGAAAAACTTTCTTTTTACGGTTCCTCGGGATCCCCACCACAAAAGGTAATTACGTGTTCTCGATAGTGTGTTTTGAAATTCCAAGACTGGCTGTAGCTGGCTGTGTTCCTTTGCCGCATACGCAAGGTCTTGCTAAGCATTCCGTGGGCCATTCCCACCCAGCAAACAAACTTCTATTTTATGCGGAACTTCTAATTTGACTGCGAACGTTTCCTTGTCTATCTCTCCCTTGCCTATGCAGCGTCAAGCTCGCATCAATACAGTTCAACCGCACAGGATTAGGCTACATTTCGTACCTCGGGATTGCTCTTGTGAGGAGTCTTTCCTAAATGAACGTATTGAATTGCAGTCAAAGATGGACGAGCCCGTCGTCATCGTAAATGGTACTGAAGATGATCCGGTCACAATCTCTCGACCGACTCAATCCATTCATTCGTCGACCACTTCACTATTATCCGACCGACCTCTGGGGGAAGATGAACCTGACAGTACATGTTGTCCGAATCTGGATGATCCTGGCTTTCTCCAGGAAGAAGGTGATGAGGACCTCACGGCAACAGTTGGGCGAAGGCGGAAACTGAGCTCCAGATGGAATTGTGGTCCCGCTGGATATCGTGTTCTTGCTTTGGACGGGGGAGGTATCAGAGGCCTTATATTGGTTCAGATTCTCCGCGCATTGGAACGGGTCAGCGGCAAGCAGATAACCGATCTATTTGATTGGTTTGTTGGTTAGTTCACTGTTGTTTGCTGGTCCAAGGTACCGAATCACGTTGTTGAGATGTTTGTGACAGTGCATTGGTCGAGCGGCTAATATCTCACTACTTCAGAAAAGCATCCTTGACCGTTCCTATCATTTTTTTTCAGTCCGAACGTTCGTGTTTTATCTCTCGTTTGAAGGCGGGAAGTTTGTAAAACTTAGTCCACTGCCACAACCTGTGGGGTTTTGAACTAGATGTGAAGAAAGTTACATTCCTCTCGATACAAGGTAGTCGTCATCTATTGAAGGGCTAGCCATATCGCGTAGCTCAAATTGGTTAGGACCGTCTAGCTCGTATCGTCTTTTCCGCCTAGCTATGTGCTTGATAGAGACATTCTAGGAGCTCTCAGTCATTATTATCATCATAATCTACAGCATGACATCAGTGTTCAACACCGATGTTTCGCTGCCTTACAACCATGATTTGTTTGAAAGCCATATTGTAAAGAAAAGATTAAAGGTGGACGGGGAAGGGACTTAATGCTTGTTTGCTACAATTATTTCGAGGTGCCTACACCTCCAAACACCCATTCAGGCAATCTGGATTGAAACTGATAACAAGATTGCCACTAACATCGGTTGTCAGGAGCTGTCAGGCAGTGATCTGACAGCGAAACGTGGAAATTTTAACGGTGAAACGTGGTCACTGCGGCAGCTGCTCTGTTCCGGAATCAGGATCCGGACGGACCTGAGGCAATTACGCAGTCAGCAGGCTCTGTCACAGCTGTTCACATCAGCAATCAACCCAAAACTGTGCAAGCTATGTAACCTCCAGCACGTGGGCACCCTATCTCGTACTTCTTTGTATCTCCTGAACCAAGAGGCGGTTGGATGCACTGTATCTTAATCTTCGTTTCTGACCAATGCAACTCGCGATACATGGGCTGTGACGAGAAAAATGCATATATCCCATAGCGTTTATTTTAACAGCAAACAATCTTATTCTGTACTATACTGTTAAAATAGTTTTCGCATGGAATTCGGTATGTCTCCTCGGCTTGGAAGTTTTTTGTGTTGCAATCAGTGCAGTTGAGTGATTTCACCAGCGCATGACCCATTCGTTTTGGGTTACAAGTTTTTTGCTACTCAATCGTCATGCGTCAGCACTCGTATTAGTCGACAGCATTTCATTTCATTGTGGTTGTAGTGTCATTAATTAATCCTTTCGACCGGATTAAATTGTTTGAGTTCAAAGATGTCGGGTTTTTTAGGCACTTAATTGAACAAGGACAAAGTATACGTTTGTTTGTAGCTTTGAGAATCCCATCGGCTGAGGAAAAACGTTTGCATCATCAGTGCAAACTAATACGATGATAGCATTGTTTCCAAGCTGCTTGGATGTACGTCCGATTAAATTCGAATACAGTGGGTACTTGTTGGGTATCTCATGTACCAAGAATTCTTTGTCAATCGACCAAACGCCGTTCATTTCGGTGGCCTGCCTGGCACTGCTGAAGCATCTAGGACAACGGATCTCTTATTTTCTTAAAAGCTTGTTTTTTCTCATGTTTACTTTCCACCCGAATTAGCCCATGCGGAAACGTCTGTTCAATAGCCGTCTCCCATGTTTCTGCATCAGCTCATCATTTTTAGAGACATTCACCAGTATATGTTCCTCCCCTATTATTAGGTTACAGCCTTGCTGTGTTCGCTTATTCACTCCTGACCCTACTGCGGTTCCTGACCATACTGCTTCCTTGTCTTGTTTGGCTTAGTTTTCTAGCTCAGTTGGCTTTCGATCTTCAGTACTGTTCAGCATAACCATATTTTGTTACTGTAATTTCTAGCATGGCCTTGAACACGCTTTTCTTTCTCCTCTTGACTTCCAACACCTAATCAGCTCACTTCATTACCAGTCATAATTTACAATCACTCATTTTAGGTACATCTAGCGGTGGTATCCTGGCGTTGATGCTTCTCCGTGGCAAATGCTTGCGTTGCTGCCGCAACCTGCTGTTCACGTTCAAGGACACCGTGTTTTGCGGCAAACGCCCGTATTCGTCCGATGAGTGGGAGAAGATAATGCGGCGTGAAATGGGAGAGAACACAAAAATGACAGACTTGAAAGGAATTAGGTAAGGACTCTCTGGGGGGAAGGGTTTCACACTGTTCTGCATGCAAATTTTCCTCTCAGCTCAATGGATATCTATCCTCAGTCGTTCTCAGTGAAATTTCCTCAATAACAAATTCACAAACGGAATTTATCACTGGAGCTCCGATCGCCATTGCACTGGCTGGCTTTTTGCCCGTTCAACAAAACAAGCATGATGACTTAGTCACCCACTCCCTAGTACGATGCTTAAATAATTTATGCTTTTCAAACAAACCTGCCTAGAGAAACGGTTGTTCCGTTCGCCTCTGCTACAGGATTTGATCTTGTCAGTCCCAGTGACTGTCACTATAGCGTGAGGATTACCGCAATGTGTTGGCCCTGCCTTTGCCAGGACCCTTCTCGGGCTTGAATAGTAGAACACCATATCGTGGTAACTTTTTTTTAGTGTTTCCAGCCCCAGCTCTCCGTAAGATTCATACACTTGGTCACGATTGTGTATTACCTTTATCACTTTCAATGAACACCGTTCTGACTATCCGTGTCGTTTTTTATCGGCTACCTGGATATACTCAGGTGAATTTTCTTTACTGCTTTACGCATGATCAGGTGTTAACGCATCATGAATCTGAATATCATGTGACAGGGCGTCCTTCACACGCATATCGAAGGTCCAGTGTCCGGATCTTTGCCCCACCGATGTTACACCGCTGACAGGCTCCGATATGGGAATTTTAACGGTGATTTTCAAACACATTTCATACAGTTCTGGGGTTTTGTGGGATAGGTATTCTGTTCATATTCAGGTAGCGTTACAGGCGCTTGAAACCCAGTGAGCAATGACTGATTGACTGGGAGGTCCTGACAGGCGGTTTAGTTGATCGTCACAGCCAGGACAGTTACTGGGTCGTCGTTGGATGCGTCAGGCACACCAGTTACATCGTTCAAGCGTGAACACGTTCGCCTGTTCAGACGTGAAAATTCGGATGCGTCCAACGTACGTTGGTGGAGTAGTGGTAACACGTTCGCCTCGCATGTCAGATGTCCGGCCTTTGGATATGCACTGCTGATTAGCTCTAATAAGAGCGAAACTTGAGTCCAGCGCTTCCGTTTAGTGTGGGCTCACCGAAATAATCACGCCAGAACAGGAGGATGACCGTCCAAAGGAGAGTGGTGTGAATATAAACATTTCATACATCCCGTAGATAGTTACAACTGCTGCCTCTTTGCATGTCAGAGCGTGTAAAGGGTTCCCCGGAGTCCTACCTACTACAAGTCGTCCCGTTCGACAGAGAGAGGCATTCCCCAAATTCCGGCTGAAATGGTGAGATAATAACGGAAGCCCCCGTAAACACCACAGTCAAAGTCCTAATATGGTGGATCCCGGAGTATGTAGATGATATTGCTGTCTTTTTTTGAAATGAACGAAATGGGTGGAAAATTCGGATGAATCATGTACAAGATTATGCCTCAGGAAATGCTGTCACCGAACGCACCCGACAATTCAAACGGAGTCAGTGAAGTCTGTAAGCTCCTCACTTGCTCGATTGTTGCATCAGTTTCGATGAACGGGCCTCTGAGGAAATCACGATTGGATCATAGGGTCAAAAAGTTGCAAAATCTCAGATACGCTATTCAATTTGCCTCGATGACAAATGCCAGGTTTCCTACAGCTGGATTCAATGGGTGCCGCGATCGCCTGGCTTGACTACGAGTTTTTTCTTCCGCCCAAGCCAGCTCACCAAGCATTGTATCTCCCAGCTTGCCTCAGACTTTGCTTGTGCATCTGATATCATTTTCCACTGCATATTTTGACGAACCATTTTTGCTTACTCGGCTTGTTAGCTTTGTGCAAGCGTAGCAGGTAGAAGCCGATCTATGGTGATCGTCATCTCGACGTAAATGGCGCCATCATTATTCTCCGGATCTTTATTGTGCCGGATTTACTCTGTCAAACATATTTCATTTGTTTTTCTATGAATTTCAGGGTTGCAGTAACCACGCTTTTGAGTGACCGATGTCCTCCGGTGTTTCACATGTTTCGTAACTACACGTCACCCCGACTTCGTCTACACGAACTGCTTAAGAAGAGGCAGCAAGAACTCGGTTGTGAAACTGCAGAACCAGGAAGACGGCCCAGTGTTTCATCGAATGTCGTTCCCTCGGAAAAGAGTTCTTCAATTTCAAGTTCATCATCTGTACTCAATTTCCTCTTGAGTGCATCTGGATTCCTGAACTCTGGTGAATCTGCTCCCCCGGAACCCCCAGTCGAGAGCGAGTGTGGTCACAAATTTGATCCTATTATCACGGATGCCGAACAGGTTAGTCTGATGTTTATTGTTTCAAGCTGTTTTTGTTGTTGGTCCCGGTTCTGGTTGTTATAAGGTTTCAGTTCTTAAACTAATCGATTAAGTAAATCAATTATGAAGTATACTTCGGGGATTAGCTATGTTGTGGAATGTAGGTAGCTCGGGTGCGCTGTTTGGTTGTTGGTCTGTTTGATGAGCTTGGCAATTTCACCTCGATTGGTGATGAAACGTACTTTGGGGATGTTCAAGCCTTCATTCGGTGAAATTTGGAAGTTTTCTGTGGATCGAGGAAGAGGGGTTGCACTCAGGAGTCTTCCTAATCTCCACTTTTATGCGGCAAATAAGTTACCTTCAATTCATACGGTTTTCAGGTACATAGAACAATCGGAGGTTATCTCACTATTTGAGTTCAATTAAATACTTTCTTCTCACAATGAATCGTAAATATGGGATGCTGCTGGGGATTACCATGCTAAACTTTTCTCGCGAAATGTCAATGATTGAGGCATGTGCTGTATGACCCTTTCCATGATGTAGTCTACCTGTTCTCTTCTCCTTCCAGCTCTGCGATTGCTCATCTTAATACTTTCCCATCACGTAATAATCTCATATGGTGCGAACAGTTCCAACGATCTTGAAATTTTGGGTTGTTGTGAAAATGAATGACAATATCACTAACTAATCCAGTGAAACTTTGAGTTTGGGACGAGTAAAAGGTAGTCTGCAGTGCTTGCTGTCAGTGATACCAAAGCGTATGAACGCAGTCATAGCTAGAAATGTTGCCCGAGACTGAAACGACTCAAACAAAGCCAACGCAGTCGAAAACTGATCGGAGAACAAGATAAACAACCAATACGTTTTCCAGGTAGATCTTATTGTAAAAGCGTTGCATGCTCTTTCGGGTTCTAGGAAACTTATCTCACCGAGAGACTTCCATGCATGAGAAAGGGATTTTGGACGGTCCTGTAGGCTGTTTCTCTGAGCAGGTACTCTAGTGACCTTATTGACTGTGTCGTGCACTTGACCAGTGGTTCTGACTTTCACTTGGTGTGCTAAGTGACCGCACAGTCAGGCCTCCAGGGTTGACGGAACCAGGCTTAATTGTTCGCCCGGTGTTATTTTTCCACTTTTGGTCTGTCAGAGTAATGGAGTTATGTTTAGCACAATGGCAAAGCTTGCTTGGTGGAGGCCGGAGAGTGGAATCGATAGATTGGATGAGGGTATAATGAAGCAAAATGGGCCAGCCTCAAACTTCCATACACCGGTTTAGTGGCATTCGAAGACAAAACATTCAGTTCTGTGTTTATCAGGTTTGTTCAAGACAAATCAGAAGGTACGTATCACTCAAATTTACTTACTGCCATCCTTTACTAACACAAAAATTCCTCTAGGAGAAGGTGGTGCTGAGATGACTTACTGATTTCCTAACTGCCTCGACATGGCTCTTTCGTCACGATGAAGTACAATGCTACGATTTGCTTTGAATGTCCAATCCGACCGCATATTTGGTGGATTTGAAGGTCCTTATACCGTGCTTTCAAAATATCACAGTCGTGTACATCTTTTGGTCGCTGATCGTTATGGAAAAGCGTATAGCTTAGTATTGGATACATACACTGTAACTGGGCATCCAGCCTCTACTTCTTTATTTCCCATCATGAAACGTTTAATTTCCGAGAAACTGAGCACACCTGTTTGCAAAGCACTGAAAAATGGATAGTGTGATATGTGAGGACCATTATCAGTTGAGGCGTCCTCTGTCTGAATGCATGCTAGCAGATACGCTTTGACTTTTTTATTTGCATAATATCATGCGTGGCGCAGATTTTTCTACTCAAGTTAAAACTGACTTAGTTCAGTTGAGTCCCACGTGAATCATGCAAAACCAAATTGGTTTTCAAATAAGTATATTTCGCTAAAACCAACTTTCTCAGGCTCGACAAGCTTGATGGCCGTTAGGGTTACGAACCCATTGGATGATGTCACCGCTGAAATATTCTAAAGATCTGTCAATAATGTCGTGAAATGTACTTGTTCCTTGCCGTTATTTGCATATTGGGATAGTTGCATCATGTGAGCTGGTTGGCCCATACTTTCGTTTTGCTTGTAGATGGGATGAATGGCTTTCTAGTGGTATGCGTAATAACAGAAGTTAGACTACCCTAGTAAACGGATCCCGAAGATGTGGAGTTTTCATGGGGATTATACATGCATTTTGCATTCTGCATAATGTGGGGAAGTGGTAGGCCTATTCGGTGTACGTTAGAGAAAGATTCCTCTTGTACTGCCTTTAACTGCACATCTCACGTTCTCAAAAGTGGATTCGTCGTACCAGAGTTCGTTTGTATCAGTGGTAAACTGAAGGCACTTTACAGACCCAAAATATTCATTTCTGCTACCCTGTCTGCATGTGGCTGCCATGCAATCTGGAGTCAACATGAGTGTTGAAATACTGCCTTGTCATCCAAGCATACTTTCAAGTGTCGGGGGCGTATCTCCTCGACGCCACTTAGAAGCCTATGCCTTAATCTCGTAATGTTTCACTGCACGTGATGATTCAATGGTTGGTCAGCTTGCAACACAACTATTCGAAGGTGGAAACAGCCACAGAAGAGTGATCTAAATGATCGATTGTTCTACGTTTTCTTAGTCGCCGCACCGCCCCGGGTATTTGTGGTGGCTTTCTTCAGTTTGTCTCGTTTAGATTCCAAATCCTAAGTGGATGGTACTATTTAAACAAAAAGTTGCATGGAAAAAGCGTGTAATCGCGTGCATCCACGCGATCTGCTCGGTCATTCTTCTGTATCGTTACTTGCAGTTCTTGTCCTTATGTTCTCAATTCAACCGAGTTGCCATTCATGTATATATCACATGACATAGTGAGCAGCATGTGAGTTTTGGTATGGATGGCGTCATGCTCAAAGTTCTCCACCAACGTAACTTGGACTTGTTTGTTTTGATCATCAAATACTACTATGTTAGATGTTTTTCACTCTTGATTGGATTTCGATCTTTTTTTCCACGGTGCATGTGGCCATTCATTTCTGTTTGTTTCCCTCCTGAAATAGGCATTTTGTTCACCTTCGGATGACGCATATAGGATTTGTAATTTTGAAGTTTCTCTGTTTTTCTTCCAACGCTTGTTGTAATATCGCTTCCTCTTTGAATTTCCAGTCGCGCACTCCCTGTAACATATATCCTCCCGGCGCCACTTTTATAGAACGTGTCTCTATGTCCTGTTCAGGAACATATCCTTCATCCGCACGAAATCTGTGCATGGGGCTTTCATTTATCACATCCTTATGGGGTCCCCAGCATATTGGCAACTTATCTTTTCACGGAAGGATAATAGCATCGCTTCTTGCCGTCGTTTGCTTACCGATAAAAGTGCTGGTTGGTATTCCCGCTTATCTGTAGAGACCTACTATGTTCTTTTATAAAGTAGCTATGTGACCAAAGTACCTTTGGAGTTATCGTAGTTCGTCGATCACACATGAAAGATAGGTTGAAATTATGATCTACTGCGCCTTATAATCGGTGGAATGGGAGCCATGTGATCTCAGACGGCCTAAAAGCTCTTCTCAATCAACATTTTGATTCTCTGAACAATTTCATGCTCTTCAATATGTATGTACACTTCGTCATATATTAATTTTGTCGATACCTTGCAGCTTGTTTGGCGGGCCGCACGGGCCACCGGAGCTGCCCCCACTTACTTCAGACCTTGCGGTCGTTTTCTCGACGGTGGATTAATCTCAAACAATCCCACGCTGGATTTGCTCACTGAAATCCAGGAAATGCAGATGGTGCAACAGCTACAGGTTGGTTATACTTTCATCCGGGAGACGTCGACTGAGAGTTTATAACCCGTTCACAGTTGTACCAATTCCCTCGACATAAATCTCATCCAAGGTAAACTTCAAAACCGTCAGTCAACAGACTGTTCGGGGAACTAAATTGAAATATCACTGAAAGTTTGAATTCCTTTTCATGCTTTTATTATCCATACCGTACAGGTAGACTTTGGCCCCAGTGGTTATTCCTTCATTGACCGCGTGCCATGTGTTGCTGAGTACCGAATCCAGCCTGCATCTCGTAATGTGTGCACTGTTGGTTAGGTTCTATTTGGTGATTGCCCTATTGGCTCGCAATTTGAGCTAGTGAACCCTTGTCCTATCATGGGTAGGTGAATTACTTAGCAAAGTTACCAGCCACATAATTTGAATAGAGTGAGCAAGTTTGCGCTCTCAGAAACCCAGAGTTCCTCCAACTAGCACACACCTGAGATTGGCTTTGAGCAATCATCATATCACCTTCTCGCTCACTTAGTCAAAGTAAAAGTGACATCTAGAACGCATATTTGAATTCAGAGTGATTTTTTTAAAAATGGTTGTTTTCACTTGTTCCGACGTACATTCTGTTGTTTGTCGCATTCCTGTTTCGAGCTAAGCTGAATTATTCTGCCAGCTTGTTTCACAGAACAAAGGTTGCGAACGTTTTACTGTGGATAAATCGCAAATCATGGTGATCTTTGTTCATTTTACAGAACTTAGTGTGCAGTTCGGCTAGCCTTCTCGTTTAGGTAAACCTGTGTCAGATACGTTTGCTATGATGCACACAATTCTGTCTTCTGTTCGCAGGATAAACCACCCACCCCGCTGGCCGTCGTTGTCTCCTTGGGGACAGGGCGAATGCCAGTAGAACCTATCGAAACAGTTGATGTATTCCGACCTCAGTCATTAATGGAAACATTTCGATCAGCCATGGGTTTCAGCTCTCTCGGTCGAATCATAGTTGAAGTTGCCACCATGACAGAAGGTATGTCGATACAACAGTCTTTCTTGGTCGATAGCCGATAGTCCTTCGAATCTGGGTCCATGAATCCTTCACGATTTCTCAAACCCCTTTTGCTTTATAGGTCCTGTCGTTGATCGTGCCAGTGCATGGTGTGCGTCTCTCGGTGTACCATTCTTCCGATTCAGTCCTCGCATTTCACTTCACATTACCCTAGACACTACTGATACTAAGGAGCTGTTGCAAATGGTCTGGGAGACCGAAGCCTACCTTTATCGAGCTCGTGACCGTTTGGAACGACTTGCCTCTATGCTTTAAATTACTTTTATTTCGCCAATGTTAACACTGTAAGCCACATTTCATAGTTGCAAGTCTACTGATACTATTATCTCTTTTTGTGTATCTCCATTCAGATTCAGCAGTCTTTCACATTTTTACAGCTTACTACGGTCATCTGAACTTGTTTTTTTTTTAAAAAAAGCAAATTATTTTACCATTTTTGATGGAACAACGAACCAGTGCTTGTAATACAGCTATAGCGCGCAGTGGAAGTTTCCTTGTAATTTGTAAGGTTTACGAATTGTTCTGCTCTTTTGGCAATCACCCGGTTGCTTTTTTATGTGCGTAAGTAGTCGGTTGGCTCGGAGATTTCAGTGTTGGAGCCCTCAAGTAAAATTTTCAAATCCCTGTCAAAGGTTTTCAATTTGAAGCTCACTCAGAAATTGTGAAGAAATTCCCCATCACACTCCAAGAGGACTGAAGGTGCAATACCTTGCTCCTTCTCAGGTCAGCTACTCATTCTGCAAACTTGTCACATGACTATTTTTGTAGCCGAATGCAGGCTCCAGCTGCAGAAATTTAATGATGGAAGAAGCATCACTCAACAACGCCCAAAACGAAGTCAAGAGCACTTGTACTGTGCTCCGTATACACAGTCCAAGCGGCGACAACTTTCTGGAAATTCTGACACCTAGGTGCGACATTGACAACCGGCATTCGGCCAATAGTTGGTCATGATTGGCTGTGGGGTCAGAACTTTCGACCAATCAGATCTTGGCTTGATGCCGGACCGGCAAGCGTCCTCAACTTCTGGCCGATCTTGCGCGGGATAGGCTTTTCGGCCGTAGCAGCACCTGACTGGGTGCAGTCAAGCCGGATCCGTGTGGAATTCCTCCTAACATCCATACCCAACCAATAGACAAGCTACGAGCAAGGGTTGTCATGTGGCTTATATCCGGATATCTACTACGGAACTGAGGCTAGATCTAATGGCGAAGCTTGGTGGGAAAGATTATCACTTTCCGAAAAAAAGGTAATCACCGACAATAGACAACGAACTTTGCATCACAAATAGTTGCCTCAGTTCTCCTGAAATTTAGGTTCTTGACCAAGTAAGTGGTTTGATGGTACTCTATAGCTTTGTTCACTACGTTGTCATTTATGATGGCATCACGAACGAAGTCGAAAGTCCCCAGCAGTTGGTTTATACCATTTTCACTATTCCTGTCTAGGCTTGTGCAATTTTGCAGTATATCATCCCTCGCGCTTCCGGAAGCATGACAACTAAACACCGCCGCAGCTCAAGGATTATTATAATTCTTATAGTCTCCAACATTGTGGCGCGGACATCTGGCAAACGACAGCCGTATCTTCTAAGGTACTGAGAATCTCTGTTCAATGTTGAGGCACGCTTTATGGTAAGGTTAACCAAAAGGGATCGTTTTGTGGTTGGCTGTGTAGATCGGAATTCCTCTCTTGGAGCCAAGTGTAGTCACCCATCACTGGCGGGAGCTGCCCACCGTAAAGCATTTTTCGAAGCTTTCTCACACCAAAAATGATGACCAATGCTTCTATTTCAGTATGACCGTAGTTCCGATGCACTTAGCCAGAGATATTACAGCATTGGCGATCGCCTTCTACTTTGGAGAATTAGTGGGTTATGACTGCTTTAAATACGTGGTTCGGTGCGCCTGTAGTTAGGTACCTGAGGGGTGAAACAGACTGCACTAGTCTTTTCACCTCAAATACAGACTGATAGTCGTGTCGGCCTTCGTCAGGAGCTGATTCATGGGTTCGCTTAACCGATTGATAATTGGTAGGAAAACGCCGTAGTAGCTAATCGACCCGAAAAATGACATGAGCTCAGAAACGTCGAACTGTGAGGGCATTCTCACGATTACATCGAAGTTTGACGGTCGGGTCGACGGCGATTTCACCGACATCGTCACAGTTAAAGAGAAATTTGCATTCTCACTTATCCGGCCGGAAACCATAGACTTGTTTCTGTTGAAGGACGGCATCTAGGAGAATTTAAAACTCTTGTTTGGTCGACGACAATGCCGTCCAGCTATGTAGCGACTCCGTTCACAATGCACCACGTCTCCATAATCTATTGAAGCACTGCTGGCCCAGTTTTCACTCCGAATGGTAATCGCATGTACTGAAACAGGCCATAATAAGTTACTTGTCAAAACACCTCTGGATTTTCCTCATCCTCAACTCACAAATAGGCTTCGTGAAATACGTGCCACCGTTCATCTTCAAGAAAGCATCAGATAGTGGATGTTGGGGATAATCTAAGGCCTCACTCGAACCTGTAGAGTAACAGACACGGATCCACACTACACCATTCAGTTTTCTGACAGCCCACAAGGCGTTGAGAGTATACAAGGCCGTATGTGGTATTGGCATTTTCGGTATGAAAATTGGCTTGACATTCGGGTGTAAGTGGAACACCACCTTCGCCTTCAAGCAGCGTCCAAGGCCATCACTGAAAATTGCACCGTATTTCTGATATAGTCGTAGGATCGTGGCTCGAACATAAAAACGTGCAAAATACCGGTCAGCAATGTCGAAGGCTGCAAGTGATCATTCCAGTCCCTAATCATGATGTCAGGCTCGCGAGAGGTAAGGTAAACAGTCTTACGAGCACAATGTTGGCTAACTCCACCCCACAGTCAAATCTAGTTAAGTGAAGCTTGCATCCCAATTCTTCCTGGTGGGGTAATGCCTGGTGTATATTTTGTTGCGCCGGAAAACAATCATGACATCTGGATTGGCATCGAACTGCACCCGTATGCTCTGAATCTCACGTATTCCCGATGCTATGACTGATTTCATCTGCTTCGTGATCCCCACTTTGAACTGGGTGTTCAAACAAGTTTCCGCGTCCGGCAACAGGATAAAGTCGGAGTATCGCGTGTGTTCCGTTGTGCCTAGTCCTCTGACATCTTATGCCTTTTGTGTATAGGGATCACTTTATGGGCTTGGCCGTAATCGTCCTCTCGAATGTGGGTCAGCTTTTTGTAATGTACTACTGGAAACGTCACAAACGAGAGATTCAGCTGGGTTCCATGTGAGTCTCTCGCAAAACCAAAAGAGATTCAGTGGGTTCCATGTGAGTCTCTCGCAAAACCAAATTAGTTTGCAAATGTTGGTCAGTTGCTTTTATTATGAATTATTCTAAGAGGCTTATCGATGTAATTAGAAGATCAGTACCTCATTGTCCCGCTTTTTATTAGCTGATTTAATTGTTTCACACAATTAATTTGCCAGAGCACGCTGAGTTCGGAAATTGGCACACTGAATATTGACTTTGTTGAACTTTTGGTCTAGTACACTTCATCTGACGCGATAGCCGTTATCCACCACGTGCGATACCTCAGCACTTCTATTATCATTGTAGTTGCATCACGTACGTAGCACTCGACATCTTGTTCCGTGATTAGTGTGCAGTGTCATGCAGTCGGCTAACGTGTCTCGTTTGATCGAACAGGGCCTGTAAAGATGGATAGATGTGTAACAGTAGTTTACAGTTCGTACTGGCATCGAAACGGAGTGTAATTTGAGTTCCATGTGAATCCACCTATTTTTTGAGAGCAAAATGTTTTCAGAAGCGTTCCACACGATCCGGCAAAATTACCTGTTCCAACAGAAAAACGCGTGATAGTGAGTCACGGGTTCTTACGGGGACGTGGATGTGACCTTGACCATTTAATTTATTCGGCTGTCCTGTGCGAACTTGTCACACCATGCTACTCGTACTTTTAAATTACGGCCTCTGAAGTGCACCAAAGCAAGCCAATCATATCTTTTAATCGACCACTCCAACTCACGTTACTCCACGCTTTTTTGTTGAGCCACGTTGCTGTGCTTAAGGTCATGTCCCGGTGAGAAGCCAAACCTTCTAGGTGCAAAACGGAGTGTCGCATTGATTGATCGATTTGGCTACTGTTCAATTGACTGCCGTAATTAGCCGATGGTCATTGAAATCATTGGAGTTTCGTCGGCAGGTGCCTTAATAGTACAAGGTTTAGGAAAGGGACAGGCAAGTTCCAGCGCTTCAACTCAGTGGCGGAGCTGGTCAACGTGACCAAATATCTAGCCTCATTTCAGAGGATCAATGAATAAGTTTTCACATTTCGGGAGGAAAACAGACACGTTTTTGTTTCTGTTGGAAATCTGTCAGGCATATTGCCTTGATATGACTTCAAGTGAAACTGCCTTTGGGCAGCAGGGCTAGAAAACACAGAAAACTAGGTTGGGACGGTCAGCTGAAACACATGTTTTCCTAAGTTTCAACGCCCGTAGTTTGAAAGTACCAGCCATCCAGGACAATTGTTGATTGTTTCCAGCAGCCAGTTGGGTCACGTTGAGTTACAAACCAAAATCAAGTCAAATCCTTCCAATGGAGGTTCATCAACAAATACGGTAGTAAAAACACAATAATTGAATAATACAATCGTACAAGCCTCAAATCGTGGCTTCTATCGGCTTCTATAGATCGATTTAGGGAGGGCTGATTTCTAACGGGATCTCCATGTCCACACCGATTCGAGGCGAGATAATGAAACCCACGTGTTGATTTAAACAACACGTGCGATGACAATGAATTAAGCGGCTGTGTACATGTCCGACCACCACAGGCCACTTTTGTGCATCAATGATGGATGATTCGTCTGGAGTTTAGATAAAGTTGCTTCACTCCGTCCAGACAATGTTGGTAACTTGGATGAGCAGAGGAATCCGTGTTGAATACCAGTTGCATATTTTACAGATCGATCTCTTTTACGAGTAGTAAAAAAATCGAACCGAAGGTGGTAGTCCTCTCGATTGAGAAGTTTCCTCCGAAAGAAGCTTCTGTCCTTGAATTGTGCGTTTTGCTTTTGACGGCATACTGTCTCAGTGACTGGATGCCATTATATGTTATCTTTTCGACACAATATTTCTAGATACATTCGTGGTCGCATTAGAGAACAATTTAGGACAAAGCAATAACAATAGAATTTAGTGTATACACATGAATGTCATTCTCAATATATAACCATGTTTAACAGGCAGTACGAATTCGTCATTGCATGGAACGTTATACCCAGTTTACTACAAAAGCGAGTCGACAAACTTGGATTCCCAAATGTGGTTTGCAACCCCTATACCAGTCTTTGACTTGCATTGGCTCGGCCACTCTGGTGGAGCAACAGGCGTGGTAGCGTGAGACAGCTTGTAACAGAGACAGGAAAACTGATACAGTTGCATCCATAGGGTAATCACAGAATGTTCTTCATGATGAGGTAAGAAAAACTGAGCTAAAAATACTCGGTTCTGATTGGTTTATATGCTGATCAATAAGGACTTGTCTTGCATAGATGTAACAAGCTACTCGTAAGGTTGCTGAAAATTA